TCCCATCCTGTGTGTCTGTCCTCCTGGATGGGATCAAAGAGTGCTTCTGGACCGTCTGGAGGCACTTACATTGATCAAAGTTACATTTATAATGCCACAGCACATTGAATCAATGCATTTAACGAAAAGAAAAAATCTAACTTGAAGCTGCTTCGTTACATCATAAAAAAATATTGCTCAAAAGTAACATGATTATAGTTGCATGGAAACCAACTCCAGATACTTTATGAGATTCAAAGAGATTGGAACTAATAAATCAGAAACGGACCAAACAGATTTTTCTTTGGGGCACAATAATGGATAGGAGCAAGAACAGATGGCAGGTTCTTGCATGTATGTAGGAGCCATGTAATCACACAGAAAGTGAAAGAATTAAATATCCCAATAGATATCCCAATTTATGTATTTGATGCTCTACCTGATTTTTAATCAAACAAAATACGGTACAACGCGGATGGTAAATGCTGATGGTTCTTAAAGAAGACTTTTGTGAAATTAAACCAAGTGAAAATAAAGCTTTTCCACTTGAGAAGTGCTGGATATAACATATTTGACAGATGAAAAAGATTTTTATCTGAAATGCAAAGTGCTCACCCTTTTTTTTTCTATTTCTGTTTTGAAATAACTGCTGCTCAAGGTGGGTTGCTTTGAAAGCTAAGGGCACCTTTTAGAGTCTCGACACTCCAGTTAACGAGGAATCTATAACTAAATTAGTTGACAGTTACATCTCTGGACCCCAAATTCACCAACCCGATCAATCAAAATATTGGTCAAATTTCTATCTCTGCTCAATTTATCAGTTCATCACTAACCACACCTACATTTAACTAGGAGGTTTAGCATGAACTTTAGACCCCTAGATAGTTTTATAGTCTAAGCAACAAACAGAGACTCACAATAAACTGAGACACACCCATCAGGTCTTCATGGCTAAAATTAATTTCCGTTTCACTTACATAAATGTTCCAAAACATTGGCAATGGAAGATGATTGAAATAAATTCAACATTAATAAAAAAAGGAAATACTTTATAAAGACAAAAAAAATGCTCAACTATATAAACTGTATAAACTATCAAATATACCTAAATCTTGAGCATAACTTTTCTGATAGCTTCAGTCACAGCAATAAACAGGGGGTCCTTCACAGGAAAGTGTTGGGAAAAAAAAAAAAAAGACTTTAAAGACCAGACTGCACACATTCCGAGAAAAAAATTATACAGCAAAGGCACATCTAATCTTAATGCCAACAGCATGTAGGAAAAACAGATCAAACACCTCAACAAGCAGACACATTACAAAAAACAGGTTTTAGGTTTGGCATACCAACTGCACCAACACCAACATTAACAGCTAGCAAATCCATAAGAACCTGAACCGACAGCCAAATATCACTTTTATATGTTGGATCCCTCTGTTTTACGTCCTTTGCATGTAAAAACTAAAGGTCCAAAGTGGGTGTTCTCAGATTGGTGGTAAATCCCTTGTGGTTGAACATCAATAATGGCAGAGCTGGGTCAGAAAGAGGCTATGCTGTCTGCTTTAGCAATTAGGCCTCTCTGCCTCCAGGCCGGTCAAGGTCATTAACAATACTGGTGATTATCAAGTGAAAACCAAACCACCCCAATACTGGAACTGACCCTGACTGGCTCTGGGCCACATTCTAAAGAAATGTTGGTAAACACAGAACATTATGGGTAAGATGTTTGAGCGAGAGGAGACCAATCTTAGCTTTCTTTTTCTTTGTTTTCTAAACAGATGCTCACCTATAAAACCAAAAACTAATTCTCTTAGCAGTGACCTCATGGGCAGGCATGCACACGTTATATTTTACAACTAATCCAACACAGGCTCCTAAACATTACATTCAGCCTGAAATAGCACCTGTTTGTGAGCTAACCCACAATGATTTACAGAGAAACGCACTAATGAATTACACGACTCTGGAATAGTAGGGCTAACTATGAGTGCAGAGTTCAACAGATAGCAGAGAACCTTTCGACATGGAGGGTTTGTGTTACCCAGCACACTGAAGGAAACAGAAATCTTCAAGTTAAAGTGCATATGAAAACCAGACAAAGGACAGGACCTCCTTTTTTTGTATGAGCCAGAAAACAGAGAGAAAAGGAGGGACCCACCCTGCCTCACAGCACTGCAGCTGACGGCACATATCACATTGCCTCTGTGTTCAGTTCACACAGACTTGACTGTGTCACGCAGACGCGTATTCACACAACACCAGAGGTTGCTAATCCGTACGAAGTCAACAACACTTAACAAATTTACCTAACCTGTGAGAGAAACCAAATGTGTTGGGTAGAATCACTTTACCAGGACTAAAATATTAACTTCTACGGTGATAACATTTTTTTGGGAGCCTTTTCATGAAAGAATCCATTACAAGGTATGAAAATTGCAATTTGCAGATCCCTTCAAAGAAGAACCTAACCATCAACCAGACTGATTTTCTCTCTTTAACTCACCTCAACACAATTACCCTCACTCAGTATTGTGAAAGGCTGGGGGAGGCTGGCCAAGCAGGCCACGTAGGTGTGATAATTTCCTTTAAGTCAAAACCGTCCTGTGCTGCACCCTTATCTACCTGAGCGGGGGAGGAATAGTTTTATGATTCTTGCTGGGATGACTCAACCAACATTAGCTTTGAAAGGTGACAACATAGCGTGGCTGATTTTGACAGGTTGTTTTTTTTTCTTTGGTGTTGTTGCCAAATGAATCTACTCAATGACAAGCTGAAACGAAGCATGTGCTGGTCAAGACATACCACGGCTAGAAAAGGCTGCTACCACACCCGCACTTCATAGGCATCTGTTTAGGTATACTTCATTTTTAAAGTGCTTACATGGGAGATAAATCATTTAAAGTTCAAATATTCAGAATAGCAAAGCATCCCCAACCCTTCTCTGCTAATTGCTGCACACTCCTGGTCGGTTGCCTTTAAAAAGGCTCCTAGACTTTTCCAATCTATGAAAGATGAATTTCGACCGACTAAAGTAGAGATCTACCATTACAGAGTTGTTGAGGCAAAAGCAGGTACTGATTAAATTTATGCTCATTTAATTGATTCCCAATTTGTGTTGCTGATATTGCCTTCCTCTTCTTCCATTTACATGATTTAAAAAAGTCCCAGAAATAAGTGTTACACAAGCATCATAAAATAAACATTTATTAACCAATTAAAGAAAACATTAACAATAGATAGCACATGGAGGGAGCGGCAATGTATGAGTTCTCAATACATCACTGCTGTACCTGCTAACACATGCACATATTAACCAATACAAGAAACATAACCACAAATACCGCTAAAAATATCCTTCTCTGAGCTAAAAGCATACTAAAGCAGCATAAACTAACAGAGCAAAACTTTCGTAAGGCAGTAATTAAGCCAGACTTGTATAAAAGTAGCATGCTTTCTAACTAGACAGTGCTACAATTGCTACTGTGTGCACCACCTACCAGGTCGCTATTTGCTTTTCCAAGTTAGTGTTGAGAATTTCTAATATTATATTAACACATAAACAAATGCTCTTAAATTTTTTTGGTGTGCACAATTGCTGAAATAGCCAGAGAAAACGTCAGTTTCCATATAAAAACTTAAATAGCTTTCTTATCTCGCTTTCAAAACTAAGCAACAGTTTTAACACTGAAAAAGGTTTCAAGCTGAAGCTCAGCTTGGTGCAAAGAGAAGGTTTATATCCAAATTTATAAAAGATCAAATCCCCATTTTTGAGTCAAGAATTAAATTTTAGCTGAAAGATAATATATATAATGATAATAATAATGACGAAGTAATAGTTATTTTTTAAGCCTAATGTAATCTTGTGAAAAATTGGCTATTTTTCACATCAATGTTTTTGTCATTGTTAAATAATTTCTATCCTCATAAAAATGGCAAAAACATACACCAGATTCAGCCAATAAACCTGCTTACTTTAAACCCAATGCAAAACACAGTTTATTTCAGAATTAGATAAAGTAGTTATGAAAATCCAAATGGCTGAATTGTTGTCCTTATCAGCTTAACAAAATAAAAATAAAAAACATATGCCTTTTTTGCAGCATAGGCCAACAAACAAGGCAATATGCAAATGATCTAAAGGAAATCTGGAGTTTAGATTGAAATAAAATACTACACAGCTGTCCTGTGTGGTTGGCATCAGCTGCTCCATCGTTATGCAGAGGGGGATTCAGACTAGAATACCCAAAAGGCGTCTAAAAAGACCCCAGACTCCACATTTCCATCACAATGAACCCACATTCAACTCTGACTTCTGTCTGAGCATTTCCACTCATCCAGGACCCCCAAACTCCCCCATCTAATACCAAAAACAGTGTCCTCCTTTAATGGATGTGTGCTTTCTAACTTGTAAACAAGCTCTACCATAACAGCACTTTACCACTCCAGGTATATTTATCCAACAGGCCTTGCTTTACTCTCTGTTCAAAGCAACATGCTGATAAACAGATATTTAAAAGAAGGTGGTTAGAAAGTAACGCTGCTCATAAAAGGGGCACAGAAAAAAAGTTATCTGCCATCTCTATTAACGCTGACAATATAAGATAAGTCAGTTTATTAGTAATGTATGTGATACAAGGAGCATTATTATTAACATTAGTCAACTTCTGATAGTGGGCTAGCAAAGGTTAGCTGGCGCCTCGACACAAAACACAGCTCCTCCATGTTGTTATTATGGTTTATGCAGCCGCTGCGTGTTCATTGCTGACTAATTTCATTTTACAAGTCGATTTAAATCACAGTAAATATAAAATATGCTAACAGCACATCATAGGGGGGATTTGGTCATGTCGAGCAAAGCAACCGTTGATTTAGAGGTCGGCGCTAGCCAGACACGGCTACCGAGCTAGCTTAAATCCCAGATACACAGAGCGCCATGACGATCATCAGCGACAGCAGGCAGTGCCCAGTTCAGGGGGAGAAAAAAAAACAGAGCGAGACAAAAGCCGAAGAGGTGCACTCACCGTCACCGACGGCCGCCAGCCCGAGCAGGGCCAGCAGCGTTAGGGCCTTTAGTCTTAGAGCCATGGCTGCTGAATTCCCATGTCTAGCGCGAGGAAAAGCACCCGAAGTGTGTCGTTATCAACACGGTGAGAGCTGAAACACAACCACAGTCCGACCGCACACACCACACCGCCAGATAGCAGCCAGCCAGCCCGCCTGTGACGTCTTTAAAGGGGGAGGGCTGCGCTGGACGTCCCCCCCTCCCCTCCTCTCTCTGCCGCCAGGGTCACTGCTGCTTGTGTGAGTTTATTTAGGGGGTGAAATACAACAGGCTGAATAACAGACCTCCAAGTCTCACAATTATGGAGCGAGAGTGATTTTTCCTGCGCCTTTCTTATAAACAAGCGAAATCGAAAACTTGCGCGTGGGTTCATTTTTCCTGTCTGGGTCATGATTCAGTCTCAAACTGATGTCAGCTTTCTTCTAAATGCCATGAGAAAAAAAAATCTTGCTTTACAGTTGAACAAAAAAATCAATCATGAATTAGTATGTTAGAAAGTACTTTTATCTATGCTTTTCTTTACAGCAAGAAAAGCAGGGGCGAAGCTAGATGGGGGGGCAGGGGTGGCCATGCCCACCCTTACCCAATCATTGGCCACCCCTACCATTTTTTTCCTCTAATACAGATTGTGGCAGCAGTAATACTTTCAAGTGGAATATAAAACAAATGTTTTGTGGTTAATTATATACATCAATATACTAACATCAAGATGATAAGTACAGAATTCATGCTCTTTTCAGAACTAGATTTTGTCTTACACCTGCAAGTCATCTAGGAATCTTCGGTGAAATAAAAAATAAATAACAATTTTAATAAAAAAAATACAAAATAATCAATTTATGTAGATACTAGTGCTTTTAAATATCAATTTTATGCAGAATGTTTATTGATACAAGTAGGTAATGACAATGATGATTGATTTACCCTGTAGAATTCAAAACTGAGTTTTATTCACCATACTTTTTATGGATGTTTAAATATATGCATCTATTTCTTAGAAAATATGGATGTTTTGCTCGTTAATTTTCCTGTTGGAACAGTACAGATTGACCCTAAGGTTCTGGTGCCTATCTGTTTTCGGCCACCCTTAAAAAAAATTTCTGGCTACGCCTCTGAGTGTGAACTGTGACAAATATGGGGGGGAAAAATATTGGATGGTGTTGAATCATTTGTGTATTAGGAGCAACCTATTAAATTGAACTTGTTTTCCTTTCTCATCTTTCCTATCTCTATTGTGTGTTTTATCATCACGCTGTCTCCCTTTCACCCCTAAATCGTATGGCTGCAAATTCTTTCTTTTTTTTTTCACAATTATTTATTTTGTATTTCCTATGACAGTTTTAGGCCATGTATTCCCTTTTCTGGGATATGTCCTATTTCTATTAAATACAAGAAAGATCCATCTCTACTTGGATCTTTTGTTCCATTAATAAATTGTTGGTTAGTTTAATATGAATTCAGAAATTGAAAGCATCTGAAAATACCTTAATACAAAAAATATAGTTAAAATAAAAGAAAATCAAATAAAATGTCATTGTTTTTTATTATTGTCTTGCATATTTTGAACATCTGGACTGTGTAGTTTCTAGGCAGGCACTATTGTGGGAAAATTCATTAATAAGATCAAAGTTGTGTGACATAAAGATATTTATCAGTGAAAAAAAAGGAAAAAAACATATATATAGAGAGAGAAAAGCAAAAAAAAAGACATTCATCAATTCATAAAACTCTCTATAGCCAACTAATTTATCCTGCTTTTCAAAGTTTATCCTATTAGTTCAAACAGGTGTTTACCAGATAGAGTGTGTATTTTTGGAACATCAATTCCAAACAAGGACAGCATTGTCAGTGTAGGAGGATTGCGTGCTTTATAAAGATTTAAAGCCACAGTGACGATTTCCAGGTGATACATGACACAGTTGTCCAATGCAAATAGAAGAACTAAGAGAAAGTGACACATTTCTGCTGCGTAGGATGAAGTACAAAGGAGAAAAACCGAAACAGCAACCTAAGATATGACTTCCTGTGTTGTTTCGCACTAGATACACAAAATTATGTACATCAAATATTCTGTAAAGCTCTAATCTCTAACTATCTGATCTTTTCACGTGTTTTACATAAGAAGATTCTTTTTTTTCTTTTGTTGCTTATCTCAAATCATAAGTTTCATAAGTTAGGTCTTGTTTCATTCATTGTTTTCTTTTTTTCTCTCTTTTTTTCGCTCTACCCCAGATTAATATATTAATTCCCATCTGTGAATGCGTCACGTTAAAACGATGTTAGGCTGTGACCAGATGCTCATTGTTTCTCTCCATCACCTGGCCTCCTGTTGCCACTCTAAATGATCTATAGGACCTATATGATGATCTATACATGTTGTAACAAATCATCACAAACTGTCCTGAGATGTTTAGGGAAATTCAGTATTACCTAGTATGTATCTAGTATGTAGTATGCTTACTAGAGTTTTTATTTGCAAAGAGTGAACTAAAAAGTGGTCTGACCTGAGTGGTCGAATTCTGATGGCATGGTGGTGGCAGCATAATGCTGTGGGTATGCTTTTCATCAGTATAATTAAGGAAGCTGGTGAGATTCGATGGGAAAAAGATATACCTGGCATTTCACCTTCCAACGGGACAATGACGAGACTGTTCAAAAATACATGCCACACATTTCAACCTTTTAGATGTAATTGAATGTAAACATGTATAAATCCCTCTTTACAATTATTTACTTCTTAACTTTGATCTATCACCTACAATCCATATAAAGTAAACTACATTTTTAGGTTGTAACATGACAATATATGAAAAATTGAGGGGTATAAATAGTTTTGCTGCTCACTGTGTCCACTGGCCCAGTTCTGTCTGCATGGTCTTGTCTAGTTTCAGATAATTTTTTTCCCATTTGAATTTTTTTATTTTCACTCTTCTATAGTGCATAAAGACACCCTGAGCTTTACAAAATCACTGAATATAATCTCTGTTAAAAAACAAAAAAGAAAAGAAGCAGGAAAAACAAGGAGGGGAATGAGAGCCAGCGTAGAGGCACAGCTTTCTGTACGTTAACATGGAGAGTTTGGACCCTCTTATATCTAATAGCCCCCCCGCCCCATCTACAGTGTTAAAAATAACTCACTGAGCAGACAGACTGGGAGTATTATCTCTCTGAAGGTTTATTTAACATTCACCAGACAACATTTACACACACAAACCCACGGATAACAGAGTGAAACCAGTACTACTAAGGCAGAAAGACAATCTCGCAGATGTGACACAGCTGATATTAATAATCTTCATTACATCCGTTGTAACATCCTTAAGGGCTCCACAGAATTGTGCGGGTCCTTGCTTTAGTTGGTTGCTTTTTTTATTTCTCTTTTTATGCAGTTTACTATCAGAGGCCCCCATTTTTTCCGTATATGGGAAAAAAATATAAGCAATGAGATGAAATAACGACCCAGATGTAGACTTTAGATACAGATAAAACCACAAAGAAATTTTCCATTTAAATATTTATTTATTCTTGGAAGAAATACATTCTTCTTTAAAATGAATTAAATTTTTTAAGCTGTTAGGATGCCGCTCTGTCAAGCCTCACAGTAAAACAAACGGGTATGCAAGATCTTTTATACCAACAGACATTCGACTTCTAAACTCTCTGTAGAGTGGCTGTTTATTAAATTGTGATGACTTTCACTATTTTTTGTATTTTTATTGTCGATTTTGATCACCAAGCTCCCTTTTCATAGTTTCTTTTAATCACTTCTATTTTTACATTTTCTAAAAATATGTTTATTTTTGTTTGTCTCTTTAGTTGCTCAAACAAATTTGCTTTTCAAGCAATTTCGAGGAAAGTATATTTTCCATTTCCATGAATCCTTCATTTTTCTAGATTCTGCAATATTCGGATTTCTAAGGATTCAAGAATATGGGGCAGGTTTATAGCAAAACATCACAAATAATATCAAAGAATAGTAATATTATCTATGATCATTTTTAGATAATGTTATCTTTACAAGATAGTAGTTTTTAGATTTGTCAATTGCATTTTATTTATTAGAAATTTTAGTCTTAAGTTGCACAATTTGACATATGATGTTTGCAATATGAAATTGTAATATTTTCTATCAATGAATAACTTTAATTAAATCATTTCAGTGAGTTACACTTCTACTGAAGTAAAAGTGGAATTTCCAAATCTAGTAATGAATTCTTTGCACATTTGTATATAAAAAAGAAACTCCTCTGTCAAAATCAGTTAGCTTTTATGTAAAATACATTTTTGGAGATAATGTAGTTCAAGCTCGATGCATGAAACAAACAACCAAACCTCACTTTTAGGCCGAGAAGAAACATGAATTCTTCCATGTTTTATCTCTGATTCCCCCTGCTGGTCAAAAACAGAACAACAAGCACTAGTTTATTTACAAAATACAAAGCTTTATTAAAGGTTTACAACATTGCATGTCATTGTGTGATTTGCTACATTGACCATAGTGGTTGTGATGGTACATTTAAGGTTTACAGAAGCAATACAAAATGAATTTAAAACAATGCGATAAAAAATGTGTATAAAATGTGCTTTAATAAAGAAAATAACATCTCTTGAAATATATTTACACTTATCAATATTGTAAATAACCACTGAATCCCTACAAGCGTCAATTCTTTTAAAATATGTACAACTTAATAATTCAGTCTGTTTAATAAATGCATGTATAACCTAAGTTGAACATCTTATACATGTTCTAAGAATGTTGTTGACAAAGTCAAACTTTTGTGCTGTTATAATGGAGTCATTGTGGAAAGTCCATTTTAAAAGGTGTGAGTAATTGGGCCAAAATTTCTTATCCCGTAATGATGAGTAAAGAAATTCCCTTTATGACCTCCTGCTTGGAGAACTGTTATAAATTAGCTGTTGCAACCCCCCGCAAAACATTAGCTGTAGTTAAGTGCTCATGGAAACATCTGTTTTTTGGCTAAGCTGATGCCGTTTAACTTTTGCTGTTGGTTTTTGATTTGTTACATGATATTTTTTTGGGTGTTCTCATTTAGATGTCACGCTTGAGTTTCTCTATGCTGAAGTCGCTTTCGACATCCAACTTGGAAAGAGTCTTCTTAACCCTCAAGGCTGTGAGGCGGGCCGTTGGCTTTTGGAACCAGCACTCCTTCATGATCTTCACAATAGTTGACAGAATCTGTGCACACAAAGATATAATTAGAGCAAAAGCCAATGGCGATACATTCTTATTTATGGGTACAATATAGTACAGTTTGTTATTTTATTTCAAAAAGCATAGGCTTCCTTGTAGCTATGTAAAATACGGTGATTCGCAAAAGGCTTTATAGATAACAACAAAATATCAGCTCAAAGTAGCAAATAACTGAAAACTGAAAATAAATGTAACTTTTAACGTTGAAAAATGTGAAGTTGGATTTATACCGGTATTTCTTCTCAAATTTGATACCCCTAAATAATTCATTTTCAGCAGTTGCCTTCACAACCTTAGTGACTGCACAGCCGCCATATGACCAAATTACTGATAGGATGAGCATGCACAGCATGAAACAGAGCAAATGCCAAGTGTTAAATTGTAACTCTGGAAAAGACTTCATCAGGGTTACTGTGGGAAACTTATTTAATAAGACAACTATCAGCTGTGCCGGCTGCATATCAAGCCTTTAGAGTGGAAACAGTAAGCTAAAATATGACTTCCTGTGTTGTTTAGCACTAGATGCACAAAATTATGTACAACTGTAAATCTTTTAGATTGTTTAATATTCTGTAGAGCTCGAATCTCTAACTATCTGTTCTTATTTAATAAGACAATGATCAGCTGTTCCAGCCGCATATCAAGCCTTTAGAGAAGAGTGGCAAGAAAGCACAAGGAGAGAAGCCGATTGAAATTCCATCTGCAGAGGACACAGCGAACATGTGGGAGAGGTCAGATAAGACCAACATGTAACTTCTCTACTCTCATATGAAATGCGTTTTGTTATGGAATGCTGATGGTTTTCTTCTCAGTAAGGGCAGGGGAACTGTTCAGAGATTTTCAGAAGAGGAAAGGAAGTTAATTCAGTCCAGCCCTTAAATAAAACATTTTGGAGGCCTCAAAATGTTCGGGACTGAGGCAGGGTTTCTGTAATGAGTCCTGTCTCTTCCTTCCCGAAAAGCTGCTGCTTGCAACCCCATGATGTCACTCCCTGCTCCATCTACTGTACTGGCAATAAGGTCTGAGGGGTTACAATTGCAGCTGCTCCAATTATTGGGAGATGCTGCACCTGGAAGGAGCGCCATATATCCCTGTTTCTCCCAGTGGGTAACTGCCAGGTTCTTGAAAGCCATTCACACGAGTTGACCTTCCAGCAAACCTTGTTTTGACCTCCTGATCTAGATCTGTTTAGTTCTTGTTTTTCTCCTGCTTGCTTGTTGGATATTCCTTTTGGCTTCTGATCTCTGGACATTGACCCCCTGCCTTGCCTAACAACCAGCTCTGCTTGCCTCTGCCCATGTCTGGATTGTTTTGTCTATCATGTATAACCAAAGCCTGTATCTCGGATCTGCTGCCTACCTCTGTCCCTCACTAAAACCGTGCCCCATGAACTGCCTCTATGTGCAGGACCCCCAGACTGACTTTGACTCCTGCTAGCCTTGGCCTTGTCTAGCACCTTCAAGATTTGGATTGGTCAATCTGTGATCTGAATCATCCAAATGGAGCCACTGGAATAAATCATCAGAGCTAGCCCAACCTCTCTGCATGTGAGGAGAATTAGTGGCTTTGAGTCAGTTCACTTTAAACGCCACTGACAATTATTTAGCCACTAACCCTGTTCTCTTTGCAACACTAGTTTTTTTCAGTTCCTGGAACACCATTTTTAGTAAACATCATTTTTTAGTTAAATTCTTACTAAACTAAAACAAAAAAAGTATTGTGTTCTTGCACAAAAAAGGGAAATCGCTGAAGATCTTACAACAAACTGTTCTGCATGTTTACCATTACATGCAAATGATTCCCAGATATATTTAGGTCCATTGTTTTCTGATTCGTTGCGCTACAAGTATTTATTTTTATTCTTGTCTATTCTCAGTAACAACAGGACATGAGTCACTGTTTCTTTAGAAGAGCCTGCTCTATTTAGCCAAGTTTAATTAATGGGTGTATACAAATCTGCTTTTGAGTAAAAGTTGCTGAAATCATTTGATTCTATTTGCTACCAAATTAAAGCATGGTTAAGAATGGTTAAGAAATTAGTTGTTTTTTTAGCTGGTTGTTTCATTTTTTGAGAAGATTTACATGTTTGTGAAGATCTCCCCCTAAAACCTAAGGCAGCTGCTGCTCTTTGGTAAAAGTAGTTGCCTTGCAATCAGAAAGCCGTGGGTTTAATTCTGGTTTCCTCCATGGCCACATCACCATTTGTTCCTTGAGAAGCCACTTAAATGTAAATAAAAAAAAAAGTTTGTTCCTGTATAAATGCATTCGGGTTTGTCATTAAGACGACGTGAAATGGCTCTAGTGCAGGCATTCCCAAACTCGGTCCTCAAGGCCCCCTGTCCTGCAGGTTTTAGAGGTTTCCTTGCTCCAGCACAGCTGATTTTAATTGAAAGCTGATTAACAGGCTTTTGGTCTACTGCAATCATTATAACCAGCTGTGCTGAAGCAGAGAAACCTCTAAAACCTGCAGGACAGGGGGCCTTGAGGACCGAGTTTGGGGATGCCTGCTCTAGTGTAAAGCCCTCTGATTGGTGGCTTAGCCTTATAAATCCATCAAACCAAATGAAATCTGTTAATTGATCTGTATTTACTGCTGTGCTTGGAGGCAAAATTTGTAATAATATAGAACCTCGATTGAAGGGTGAGAGATTTTTTAAAGGGGGAAGATTTCTATGGCAAGATTTCTGTTGCAAGAAAGTTAATCTAGATCTGTATATAAAAAATAAGAATTAGAACAGAAAATTACAGTCATTACACAGCTTGAACGATAAAAAGCAGAATTTCTGCTCCAGTGAATTGATTCCCAAAGATAAGAGCGTTAAGTTGAGTGTGCGTGTTGCACATGGAGGGCTTACTGGGTGGGAGTGGAGTCTGTTGTGCAGGCTGGGCCTCTGCTGGTCCACACACACCACCTTCTTCATCTCCTCAAAGCTTGGATCTGAGGGCACCAAGTCAAAGAAGGGGGGTCGGTACTCTTCAACAATCCCTTGAGGATGGAAAGGAACAAAACAGCACAAATTTAATCACAACTATGAAAAATAACGACATGACAACAATGGCAGTAAAGAAAGCAGTAAATGTTCTCGCCATCAAAGGTTCTATCCACTTCTTACCTGGTTATCCTCACATATATTTCCAGAATACACATTTATCCCTGATACACGGTCTGGAATAACACACTTCAAGTTCAAGATAAGCTGCAGTGGGAGTTTTTGCAAAGCATGTTTGATTAAACAAAACAACAGCAGAGATACCAGTTCCCCCGTGATTGTATAAAGACCTTCCCCCACATGTATATTCATCTGCACATTGTTTTCATATCAGTGGATTGCGTAAATGGTTGAAGTGCGTTTATAACAAAAACATGTGAATGGGCATCTGGAGCATGTAAAAGTGAGTGCTGACACCAGATAATACTGTTTATAATTACTGCAGCGCTAATCATGAGAGGGAATAGTAGAGACAGACACAGACAGGAAAAAAAAGAAAAACTCTGACATGATAAGAAACATTTTGTGTGTATATTTCTCCAGGAAAAAAATGACAGGGGAGAGACTTTTGAAAGTTTTTTAATACTTGCAGGAGAAACATATTCTAAGAGGTTAAAACAAGAAATAGAATAAAAATAAAAACGAATGCAAGGCTTAAAAGAAGTTTTCCTTTTTTCTATACTGTGTGCAGTGACTGCTCAGTGGTGTTTTCTGGATCACCGGGAGTATAATCTGATAACATTGTTTAGTGCAGAAGACAAAGCAGTTTAAAAGTTGGGTTTTGCATTTAAACTTCATAGAACTAGATGGGTGGTTTTGACAAATGTGTTTTAGCGAATGAGGAAAAAACTGTTATTGGATTTAATCTGACAGTTTGGCAAAAAAGTAAAGTGGTAGGTAAAAAATATGCATGACATGCATTTCAGTTAATGCCCCGAACCTAAAGACCTATATTTTTAGGTCAGGTTCGAAGAAGTCTTGCCACAGCTTTTCCTTTTGATCTAAGTCGGAACTTTGAGTAGACCCAGTTCAAACAAATGAAAATGCTTTCAGAGAACCCAATAAATTGTTGTTCTAGCTTTATGTTCAGGTGTATTTTCTTGTTTTGGCCTTCAGGTTTTAAGACATCAAGATTTTTCCAGATTTGCCTTTTATTTAGATCAGTGATCCCAGAATTGTCATTCTGTATCAGGAGATTCGATGATTAAAGACAAGACAATGTTTCCGAGTTTCATGCTGGCTATAATTGTGTTTAGAAAACCATTCTCCCGGACCTCTCTGTTGTGTTAGTCTATATCACCCGAAAATCAAGTATCTTTCTCCCTTCTCTTCACGTTTATAAGCTGTGGCTAATCTAAGAAGGTGTGGGTCCCTGGGCTGGATTGAGTTTTGGTGTCCTACCTAGTCAATTTTTTTGTTTATGTGGAAAATACACCAGACTTTAAATCACTGAAGCTGGCCTGTGTTTGTAGGGATTCCCTTTATTTTTCTCCTTATTAAAAATATTCCTTCATCCACATAAAAACTAAGACAAATGAACATAACATTAACTGGAAGAAACAAAGTCACTGACATACCCTAAAAGCACTGAGGGGAATGATAGGACTAATGCAGTTGGGGTCAAAGGATTGAGTTAAAGGTCAGACTATGAAAGTGTTTAAATAAGTCTGATTTTACTAATTCACAATCAAACAAATAAAAACTCCTTATCTGATATGTGTGCTAAAAATCAATAAACTCCAGGTCCCAGCTATAGAATACATTTACCCCAGTCTATCAAAAGATCCCGATTAAAGACATAAAGTTTGGGTTTTAAACCTTAATATCTAGTTACGTTTTTTATAAATACAATTTGCAAAGCTCTGCATCTTACTGTTAGCTTACCATTGACAATAGTTCTGCGGGTTATTTCCCAGAAAACAAGACCAAGGGCCCAGATGTCTGTTTGCTTGTAAGACTCAAAGACATCGACTCGAATCGTCTCATCCAGCACTTCAGGGGCCATGTAGCGCTTTGTCCCTACACGAGGATTGTTGCCCACATCCAGGTAGTCATGAGACTGAGAGTGCATTACAGCAAGACCTGAATAGAGGAAAAAAAAAAAGCAAAGTTGATTGTAGGAATAAATGCATCTATGAGGACTTCTTGCTTAGCATCTCTCCCTCAGTGCACACTTTACCTAGATCAGCGATGCAGCACTGTCCGTTCCTTTTCACCAGGATGTTTCTGCTCTTGAGGTCTCTGTGGGCAATTGCTGGTTTCTCCTGGGAGCTGACGATCTCGGTGTGGAGGTGGACCAGACCACAGGCTACTGAGAGGCACATCTTCAAACAGCCCTCTGGCTCAAGGCTGCTGTACTGCAGGAAATCGTAGAGTGAACCCAGCTCATGGAAGTGAGTGACGAGCCACAGCTGGGTGCTGGAGTTTTTGGATGTCATGTCGGAGGCTATGAAGCCTGAAGGACAGGACATGATTTTTAAAGTACATGAAATAAGAAGGACTTCTAGGTCTTTATTATAGTCAAACAATTACATGATAGGTGTCCTCTTAAAACAACTATTTATCAATGCACTGTATCAGTTTCATTGTACAGTTTATAGAAAGAAAAGAAAATGTGATTCACTGGATCAGTCTGATTATTTAGGAAAAACAAAGACAGAAATTAAAACAGACATATATGTGCTAGAATCTTAGCATACTAATCAATGATTAATAAAAACAAAGTAAAGATATTGTGAAACAAAAAATATGTCCAAAAAACCCCCCAAAAAAATAACATTTAAAGGGACACTATGCAACATTTTTCAGTTAATTAATGTGTTCCATAACGTTATGGATGATTAAATGAGTCATTTCAGGTTGAACAAAGGTATTCTCGGCCGCCCTGGTGGTCTGTGGGGGAAATACTGCACTTGCAATTGCAGGAGCACCGACCCGCACCCACAGGCTCAGAAGTCTCGTGAGAGTCAGTCTTGCTTTACGGCGAGAACTGCTACACCCCCCAGTTAAAAGCATTCTCGTTGCTAGCACAGTGGCAATCTTTGTGCAGTTATGCTACGTTCACGCAGCAAAAGCAGCAAAATCGCATCTGCTGCTTCATTTTTGCTGCTTGTACCAGTTAGTTCTGACGCGCGGCTGAAGCAGCTTTGCTGCTCTGGCTGCAAAAGTGTGTCTGAGGCGCGTTGGGCGGAGCTTCACTATCCTTTCTCTGCCTTGCAGCTATATTTGCTGTGATCAGTGGGAATAAAGTAGTTTTAATATGTTTTTAAGTGAGAAAATACACCTGAAAACGTAATCAGTGCAGTCAGTTCATTCAGATTATTATCCTGCCTTCAATATTTTTTCTGTCGGAGCCGCTCAGACCCCCACATACCAGGGATGCGCCGACAGTATGGATCCCTTCATCAGCAGCGGTTCACCGCGGCAGCTGGTAGGTGTTTTTCATCTAAATAATCCAAACTGCATATTCTGCCGGCAGATTTCTGCATTTTAAGTTAATTTAGGCGTCAATAAACTGTTTAAGAGCAGTGATCATCAGCGTTGTGTCTCTCTCCCTGCGTTAAACGCACCCGACGCGCTGCTGCAGCCGCTCAGACGTGCTGTGCCTGCAGCTCAAAACGCGCGCGTCAACCATTGACTTTGCATGTAAACTCGCTGCTTCTGTCGCGCCAGCTACATCCAGTGTGAACGCAGCGTTAGTCATTCGCTGCTAAGCTCAAAACAACCGCGCCTGGCTTGACGGAGAAACCAGGAGAACAGCTGAGCATATTTACGACAGTGCACTTTTACTTTCGCCCTCTGGGGGGAGCCTCGCTGGAAAATCAACACCGGTTGCATAGTGTACCTTTAAAGAAAGCAAAATTTAAATAATGAGTAAAGAAAAATATAGAAATATAGCTAATAAATACAAGAAATTTATGAATAATTAAATTATATTCATGTATAATTAAATTAATGTAACAAAAAAAGCCGCATTAAAGAAAATGTAGTAAAAATAAAAAATAAAGGCTAAAGAAAATCAATAGATTTGGAACAATGCATCATAGATACACCATAACAACTAAATAAAACCATTCCAATAAATCGTGTTCTTCTTTTATAATGAAGTGAAGCTTTTTGAGTGTTTTTAGTGAAAACAGACACCCGTCAATAAAGTGACCCAAGGTTATTTTTAAACTAGAATAGTACAGACGTTTCTGTCCTATGCCATGGCCTTCCTCCCCAAAACAGCATTAGCTATTGCTTCTATTTGTAAGCCAAAGGATACCGCTACGATAGATGTAAAGAAAAATGTACTTCTTGTATGTTTTTCCTAGAATTCCTAAAATTACAACCGAGATGTTTTCAGTTATAATTATATATTATTTTATGCTGTTTCATATTGGCACCAAATAACAATGTTTTTAACAATCTACTGATTATGAGAACAGAACAACAGATGTCTAGCAAGTGTGTGTGTGGTGGGAGAGCTGTCAGCACCATATTCACATCATTATCCAAACTCAAAAAGCCAAACTCATACAAGTAGGCTGTTGTAAAACAAAAACAAAAATGTGTATCAGTGACCTGTCAGCCAAAGTGGGATAATGTTTTCTAATATATTTAGAAAGAGAAAGTGCCCTAAAATGTATATTTTAAGTCCCTAGGTTTCTAATGTCATTACAATATAATTTCTCACCTTAATATTATAATATTAAACGTTATATTTTATCACAATGTTAAAAAAATAAATCTGATTTAGCTATAGCGCCCCCTGGCGGCCCCCACTTTAAAAACCATTGGAACAGGACAGTTCTAGCTGCCATACCCAGGATGTTGTCGTGACGCAGTTGCACTGTATTGTAGATCTCTGTCTCTCTGAACCAGGACTGCTCGTCCCTGGAGGAGAAAATCTTGACAGCCACGCTTTCACCCATCCACGTCCCCCTCCACACCTCGCCATATCTGCCTTTACCTGGATGAAAAAGGACAGGCTTAGTCAGTCGCAACTAAAAACAAGATGAAAAATGAGAGCAACCCTTCAATAACTGACCAACACACTCAGCCAACGAGATTTGTCTAGCCATCGTCCTTTGGACCAGATATGGAAGGCCTGTTCCACTTCCTGATGTGCAAAACTCATCAAAAATTTCCTAGAAACAAGCAATGCAGATGTATTAAGGAGTAAAAACAGTAATTTCACCCTGTCCCATTAGAAAATAGCAGGTGTTCCTTACACCGTATGTGGGGTCGTTTCCAGCGGGGACTTTGACCATGAGACCGTGGTCTTCGGGGTCCTTCAGCTTGCAGGGCGCCCGTCGGAATCGCAGAAATAGCAGAACGCCACACACGCTTATAGACGTGAGAAGAAGCAGCAGAGACACAGCGATCCACACCTCAGTTCGGGGCAGCTCTGGGGGTGGCGTCGGCTCCCCATCTGAATATAGAAATAAAAGATTAATTCATCGACACACACACATAGACATGCACAGTCTGAAAAACCTATTACAACCTTGCAGGACAGGAGTTTATGTATTCTTTCTTAAAAAGGGTAAAACAGACGGATTGGATACAGGTCAGTAAAATACAACAATTTAACAATAAAAGAATTTCACATATGATGTATAGTTTCCTTACACAGTGTTAGGGTTATATATATTTTTATAGAATCAAAGTAAGGACCATTAAAATGCGTAGGATAAAAACTAATAATATGCAATAAGAAGGCATGCTATGGCTAATACATGAAGATTGCATATGCAAGTGATAAACTGCAGAGTCAGCACAAAACAGATTTTGTGATGATACAGCCTTATTCCAATATGCATTTAATTTATTTTCCTCTCATAACTCCAGTAATAACACCAAAATGACAACCTAAAATAAATATAGTTTTGATGTTTTTGCAATTATCTATGTAAGTGGTTTTGTTGATACATAACTGGCAGCAGTTACAGCCTTTGTGCAGTTTCACCCATGACTCATAACCTCTGCATAACCTCTCAAGCTCCATCAGGCAGAACAGACTGGTGCGCAGCCACTTTTACTTAAGGTCAGATTTGGCCTCAGGCTACAGCTTTGATATTGTTCCTGTATGTGAGGGGTCCTTGTCCTGCTGAAAGACAAAATGTTGCTCCAGTCTGAGGTCAAGAGCACTTATGAGGTAGTTTTCCTCATGGATGTCTCTTTAAATGGCTACATAGATTTTTTCCAACTTTACTAACAAGTCTTCCAGTTCCTGCTGCATATAAACATCCCCATAGCATAATGATGCCTCCATCATGCTTCACTGTAGGAATGCTCCTGGCCATGTTATGATCAGGACCTGGCTTCCCTTACACATTAAATCTTGCCTGATTAGAACAGAGAATATTTATATATTTATTGTGGTCTGAATATCCTGTAAGTACCTGTGGGCAAAGTGCCTTGTGGCTTTTATTATTGTGCTGATATCCTCTGACCACTCTACTATACTGGCCTTATTGGTGGACTGCTGCAGGAAGGGTTTTCCTTCAGAAAAGTCCTCATCTCTTCAAAGAGCAACACTTGAGCTCTTCCAGAGTGACCAGAGGGTTCTTCTTCACCACCCTGACTCGGGTACTTTACCCCAGTCGATACCTCCAGGTACCTCCAGACCTCTTGCATTTATGATTGATAAAGGCCATTTTGCTCATCCTAGTGTTAATTAGTATTTTAATTAATAAATTTTGGAATAAGGGTGAAACACAACAAATTAAGATGGTGAAAATGGTGAGATTCCAGGTGCACCGTATGAGTTTCACCTTTTAAAATGTGATAAACGTTTTAAATTACATTGTAATTTACTAAGATACATCCTTATAATCAGTGATGAAATAGGGCTGAAGTACTAGTTTGCTGAGTGTGACCACTAGGGGGAACCCCTTACTATCTAAGATGAAGCTGAGGTCCTTCTACTAAAGCATGCAAACAAAATAAAAACATGATATTAAACTATATTGTAAAAGGATGACTTCGGGTACTGACTAATATTTGGAGGTGGTGTGATGAAGGCATTGCACTTTTCCTTTTGGCAGCAGTGGACAAAAAAGCCAGGGAAGGCGCCTGAGCACTGCTCTCTAAAGTGCTTTTTGGAGAAACATCCTCTTTCCTCTATGTCCTTTGTCAACGTGTAGAAACAGTAGTCTCCTATGCATGTCCCATTGTTGCATGTGCCTTTGGAGTTCTCACAGGTACACAGCAGCATCTCTTCTTCACCGCCATCATGGGTTTCTAAAAACACAAGAAGAAAATTATGTTAAGAGTGAAAATAAAGTCCCATCAGAAGACAGTGAGATAAGAAAATGAGAGAACAAAAATACAGCCTTTCTTCTGTAAAATCATTTTTCTGAAATCATAGCACGGAGGCCAGAAATTACTTCCTTAGGGGGAAAAAAATGCTTATTAAAGCCGGAAAATATGTTAACCTCACTTCCCGTGTTGCATGATGCCACAGAAACAGTCAGCTCGTGTGGTTCACCGAGAGGTAACTTTGGTTTGAAATGACAATCTTCTTGGAATGAGATGACAGGGTTTAAACGTACAAGCTCAAGTTATTTTTAGGCCTTAAAATATTCAGACTAAAGAGGTAAATAGTAACAGCAGAAAGTACTCCACAGGTACTTTATAATCCCAAATAAAAGACTTGGTAAGTTACTTACTTTTATTTTAGTATTACATTTTAAATGAGAATCTCCTTTATATTTAGCAACGATATATAAAGATATAAAGAGCAACGTATTTCAAGTGTTTTTTTTTCTAATAATCTTAAAAGATTGTGGTTTACAACTAAGAATGCCTGAAGTAAACATTTTTTATAAAAAATTCTCATAAAACTAAATATAAACTATAAAACAAAGGTTTTAGATACTTAAACACGTGTTAACCATAAAGAATTTTTTATTTCCAGCACATGAGCTGTGCCCTGCAGTAATCAGTTTATTTTGTGTTATACATGAGATTAATTTCTGGAATTGAGTAACTGAAATACCAACAATATTCTAATTTACGCAAGTATTAAACCACTGCAGGAATGTGACCTTGTTTAAACTGCCAGAGGTCATTTTGGACTAAAAGGCAGACAGTTGCACATAAGTAAGTAATTTTCCTCTTGAAATGTTTTTTGGAAAATCCTCCGCCTCCCATTTACTCAGGTCATCATGTCAGGCATCTAGTAAACACCAACCTTGTCTAAACTTGTTGGTTGGATACAGACCTTTTGTTCCAGTGGATCATGTTGAACTATTGCTTAATAAAAGAAATAGATGCTTCATGGGAAAGAGACAAAAAAGGTTGCTTTTAACTCACCTGCCTGAATGTTGGAAGTCGAGAGAAAAACTCCTGTTAACAGAAGCGTGAGCAGAGCAGACCCTCCCATCACTGTAAAATGAAAAAAAAAAGAAAAAAGACGTAAAAGAAAAAAAATGTCAGTAAAAGCTTTTTTTTCTTTCATTTAATTAGAAGATAAATGTTTGACAAAAGCAAGACATATCAGCTGCAGCTTGATTTCAGTTTACAGAGGGTAGCTTAATAGTTGCGTCCATGAGGAGCTGAGCTGTGGCCTAAACCGGGGCCCTAAAGGAAGCTATGAGGTCAAAAACAACAACCAGAGGATCCAGTCTGTCTGACTGTGTTTTAATTGCACTGGGTGGGAAAAAGGGGGTTTAAAGGAAAGAGGGCTGAAAGGCACTTGAGTGTGTTTTTGTGTGTGTGTTCTTGGACTGCTTGTGGCACTGTGCTACACGGGCTCCAGGCCTGACGACTCCACAGCTAGCCTGCCTGCAGAGTAAATATTGATGGCTATGCTTCCTGCCACTGAGTGGCCCCACCCGGCTGGCTGGCGAGACTCGGGTCTCCTTATTGTTTAGGGCCGCAGGGCTGGGAGTCACGCAAACCAGAGGCCTGCAATACACACTTGTGTAAGTGAAGAGCAGTTGAAATGAAATTCATTAAAAGTCAAAGGATGCAGTTTGTTTGCATCAGTGACTATTTGTTAACCTTTTCTACCAACTTTTCATCATCTACAGGTGTTTTTGGTTTGGATTTCTTTTGTGTTCCTTTCTAATTATTGTTGGTTTTATTATTGATATCATGGTTACATCATATACGTTTAATTTCTTTCTTTCTTTTATCATTTCTTGTGTGTTTCCATCTATTACACTACCGTTCAAAAGTTTGGGGTCACACTGAAATGTCCTTATTTTTGAAGGAAAAGCACTGTACATTTCAATGAATAGTCTTAACTTTAAAGAAATACACTCTATACATTGCTAATGTGGTAAATGACTATTCTAGCTGCAAATGTCTGGTTTTTGGTGCAATATCTACATAGGTGTATATAGGCCCATTTCCAGCAACTATCACTCCAGTGTTCCAATGGTACAATGTGTTTGCTCATTGGCTCAGAAGGCTAATTGATGATTAGAAAACCCTTGTGCAATCATGTTCACACATCTGAAAACAGTTTAGCTCATTACAGAAGCTACAAAACTGACCTTCCTTTGAGCAGATTGAGTTTCTGGAGCATCACATTTGTGGGATCAATTAAGCACTCAAAATGACCTGAAAAAGAGAACTTTCATCTGAAACTCAACAGTCTGTTCTTGTTCTTAGAAATGAAGGCTATTCCATGCGTGAAATTGCTAAGAAATTGAAGATTTCCTACAACGGTGTTTACTACTCCCTTCAGAGGACAGTACAAACAGGCTCTAACCAGAGTAGAAAAAGAAGTGGGAGGCCGCGTTGCACAACTGAGCAAGAAGATAAGTACATCAGAGTCTCTAGTTTGAGAAACAGATGCCTCACAGGTCCCCAACTGCCATCTTCATTAAATAGTACCCGCAGTAGCTTGTTTGTGCTGAACATGATTGCACAAGGGTTTTCTAATCATCAATTAGCCTTCTGAGCCAATGAGCAAACACATTGTACCATTAGAACACTGGAGTCATAGTTGCTGGAAATGGGCCTATAAACACCTATGTAGATATTGCACCAAAAACCAGACATTTGCAGCTAGAATAGTCATTTACCACATTAGCAATGTATAGAGTGTATTTCCTTAAAGTTAAGACTAGTTAATCTTCATTGAAAAGTACAGTGCTTTTCCTTAAAAAATAAGGACATTTCAATGTGACCCCAAACTTTTGAACGGTAGTGTACTTCTTTATATTCCCTTTTCTGATTTTTTTTTTTTACTTTGGCTACTAGCATCATTAAAATAATCATTTAGCTCTCCTTGTATTTATTAACCCCCCTCAGCTTCCTTGCTTTATTAAGCCACAGCTGTTTTACATCTCTTTGGATCGGATAATTAGGTTATTTTATTGATTTCCACCCCGTCTCAGTATTTAAGCTCCTGGTTTAATATTGTTCCCATTAAGGGCTCATTATGTTTGAAGCACGTACAATCCACACGGAAAATGAGCCACCCATCATGTGTTCAGCACAAACTGCAAGCTGACAACACCACACCACATGAGGAAGTAGAAAACACAGACATTTACAACTTTCTTCTTCTTCTTTGTGCTGTCCAAGTGTGACAGTCATTTCTTTCCAGAAACTTTTCCACCATCTTTATGGTGGTATCTAGGAGCTAATTCACAGGATTTCTAGATCTTTACATTTGTAACTCACCATGTTTTTCTCATGCAAATCTTTCCATGTAGTTACAGAATTTCCTAGGTGTGCGAAGCGGAAATTCTGTCCGCACAGAGTAAGAGGCATGGAAGCCCAAAATGACGTAATTTTACCTTTTTCCAGCTTAGTCCTGTCAAGGTTGCGGTGGGACCTGTGCCTATCTCCAGCAGTCTATGGGCAAGAGGCATGGTTAACCCTGGACAGGTCGCCAGTCTGTCGCAGGGCAACCATGCACACACACTCACAACTAAGGACAATTTAGAGAAGCAAATTAATCTAACAGTCATGTTTTTGGACTATGGGAGGAAGCCGGAGTACCCAGAGAGAACCCACGCATGCTCAGGGAGAACATGCTAACTCCATGCAGAAAGGAACCCGGAATCAAATCCAAAACCTTCTTGCTGCAAGGCAACAGTGCTGCAAACTGCACCATTGTGCAGCCTTGGTCGTGCACATGTCAAGCATAAACCAGGCTTTCCTTTGCCTTTCCTCCATGTCCTGATGTTCTTGTCATTGTCATTGAATTTCCTGTTATATTTTACTAAAAGTTGTACTTTTGCCATAACCAGCCTCTGTGCTTTGGTCATGTACTAACAATACAGTCCAAGCAAGATTTATTACAGTGGGATTTGTGAATTCATAACATCCTGAAAATACATCTTGAAAGAAGCCAAGACATGAATTAGCCTTGATACAGAAATGTTTTGGACCAATGAAACACAGTGACGTGTATGACGTCAACTCATTAACCAGTGTAGAATTCAGTGTAGAATTCAAATTGAAACACACATATCAATCTGGTTTATACCAGCTTAGTTCTAATCTTCAAGCATGAGAAAACTTTATTTTAACCAAGATTGTATATAATAGGCCCGCATGATTAAGTGAATATCACTGAAGTGGAATATAAATGATACATTTCATAACATTTTTCATAAATAATGGACAACCAACTCCAATCAATTATGCTCTCTGCAAACCAGGACTTTATAGAACCGGAAAGTCTCAAGTAATAAGAGGCTAAAGAAGTCGTAATTGCCATAGACCAAAAGCTGTCTTTTTATTAATTAAACAGGTGTTTGTAGTTTAGATTACTTATTTTATTGCATGTTTTTAGTCTAAATGTAAATCTGGAAAACATAGAATATAAGACTGTTTAATCAGTAAATAAAAAAACAATAAGTATAAAAAGTCCAGGGCTCCCTGGCGCCTCTAATTCAAGCTCCATTTATTTATTGTTGGCTTAAATGTGACCTTTCTCCATCTGAAACACGCGTCTATTAAAGCTGACATACAGAAAAGCATTTTAGCACCTGCCAAGATATACAAGCTTGCCTTTGTGCTGGCTTTCTTATCGATGTAGTGCCCCAGAGTGTTTCTGTCTCTGCTTTGCTTGTTTTCTCTGTAAATGCATGGATATTCTAAAGCCCCAAACCGTGTATGTTAGGTTTATTTCCCACATTTAAATCTCATATGAGACCTATGTGCATGCAGGTTTGTGTCTGTGCACTTAACCTAGTGCCTATTGACAGCTAGAATGTAAGTGGCATCTGACCTTTTACAGGATTATAAAGCTACCAAAAGAGCCACAGAAGACATGTGACAATAATTTACACACCAAAAAAGTATAAGTCCTCTCCCAATATGTTTTAATTTTACACTAACATCTTTTCTACAGAAAAGATCAGTCTGTGCTCCATGCAAACAAGAATAAACTTCACCAGATTTATGCAAAACAACTAATCTCACTTCCCCTCTCCTATTCATGAACACATTTTTTAACTCATAATTTCTGTTATATTCACAAATATACAGTGAACAAACTAATAACAACAGTGATGAAAAAAAGAGGGAAACCAATGATATAAAGGTGGGTATTACAGTTGCTTAAATGCACTAATAATTCTTATAGTTGATCCATTTCTTCCATCTCTGATCAAATATAGCAATTTTTGGTCTCAAGAAATTAGTGATTTTTTTTTCCACTACAAAAACTTTCTCCATACTCCCTTTCCACCATGACAGTGTTAAAGGGTTACTCATCAGCTAGCTCTTTGTAAGGGCTTTTCTTGCTTCGAAGAGCTAAAGATCCTCATTTTTGCATGATTATTTCAGAACATGAACCCCAGATACACTTTCCAAAGGTTCTTTGAAGAACTTATAACCAGACACATGCTTTATTTCTTTGGAAAGGGACACATGGGAATGATTGACATTCACGCAAATAGACCTTTCAACATAACAAATAAAAGATGCCTCAAAAACCAAAAGAGTTGGTTTTGTCCATCTTTAGTAATGCTTTTATGTCTTTATAGTCACTTCAACATCAATGTTTATTCTTCAGCATAATTTCTGTAGGGGATCTCATGACTCTGTACGGGCTGATCAAGCACCCCAACTTTGGAAATCAGTGGTCCAAAACAGATAGAAGTATTTTGCAGTCGACAGATAGAATGTCAATCTCACCTCAGACATTCCCAGTCTGTTCTGTTGCCCTCGGTAGGTAACTGTCATGATCTGGCCTGTTTGCTCTCCCTTAATTAGTAATTCCTCTCACCTGCCCTCTTCCTTCCCTGCCTCAATCATAATTTATTCCTCTCACCTGTTTCCTGTGGTTTATATTCAGTTCAGCCTGAGCATTCAGGGCCAGATCATTGCTTGTCTTTTTGTTAGTCTGTCCAGTTTTATTTGATTCATGTCCTGGATCCTAGCTGCCAGTGGATAGAGGGTTTTAGTGTTTGTCTTGTCTCCTGATCGTCCACTGTTCCTCCCCTGTGGAGTCCTCTGGGTTTTTGGCTCATTATGGGGGGAGGTTCAGTTTTTATCAAAGTAAGCCTGGCTCCAGGGAGGAGACCAGTTTAAAGTCCAGCTTCAAGTTCCGGTTCCTATGTCTTGTCTCGGCTACCCTCTTCCACTGTGCCTGCCTGTCTGCAACTGATCCTGTCTGCTCCTGTGCGTGACCACCTGGTCATGCTTCTGGTCCCAGTCTGACTCTGAACCCTCCTGGAAGCCTGTGGATGCCTGGAAGTCTGGATCCTGCCACCTGTCTCTGTTCCTGCCTGATCTGGATCCTGCCTGTTCCTGTCTGTTCTGGATCCCTCACCAGGATCAGCTTCCAGCATGACCTCTGGGACTGCAGCACTGGGGACACTCGTGGTCTGGACTGTTAAACCAGAGTGTCTGAGATTGGGCGGTGCCCCGCCCCCTGCCTGCAGTGTCCGTGAGCCACAGCTCCACTTTTGTTTTGCTTTTATTTTAATAAACCTTTTGAACTTTCCTACTGACTGTCTCTCCTGAATACTGGGTCCATCTGTCCCCGATTCATGACAGTAACATGTATTTCACATATGCCTAACCTGACGTATTTAATTGGTAAAACAAAGTTTATTCTATTCCCCAAACCGAAAAATACGTTTTAAAAAATGGAAAAAATGGACAGACATGCCTTTGATGACCTGAACACAGCAGCCACCAATGGGAGCTACCAGTTGTTTGTCAATACAGTATAACAGATGCCAGTTTTAGAAGCTTTAGAAGTTTATTAGAATTGAATTTCCACTGTTGAATGGGATTAAAAAGTAAAACTAATATGTTTTAGTATTTCTTATTTTTGTTCCACTGTTAGCTTAGAAAATATGTGCTTTGCTATATACAGATATCAACAGAAAATCAACATTTTGTCTTTATGAGAGTTGTATGTTTTTAATATTTATTCTAAAACCAAAAAAAAAAGGTTGCCTCTTTAAAATAGCAAAAAATCAACAATTTCTGATATTTAACAAAAATACAAAGTTGTCTTTTATTAAAAGGTCATGTGGCATTTGCGGCTCCAATCGACTGAGCTACACTCACGGCAAAATGTCTCTTTGAATTTTAAAGGTTGCAGACCATTGGTCTATATGAACAACCAGTGGCTCATTTCATGACAGATTCCTTCAAGTTTTCAAAAGGTACGTTTAAAAAAATCAGCTTAGAGCCGATGCCAAAGGCATTTTGGTAACTCTGGAGGAGCTGCAGAGATCCACAGTTCATGTGTGATAGAACAGTAATAAACAGCATAGTATAAACATTTAGCTCTTGTGGAAGAACTGCAAGAATGAAGCTATAATAGATAACATTTGCAGTTTGCCACAAGCCTTGCAGGAATAAAAAGCAAACATGTGGAACAAGGTGGTCTTGTCAGATAAGTGGTTTACCTTTCAGTACAAAGAAGATGAAATGGATCAAATCACATCACAGTCATGAGTTAGAATGTCTTAGTCAAAGTCCATATTAATCTAACTGAGAATCTATGAACATACTTGTACCTTGCTCTGTATCAACCCTCAGTTTTACCCACGTTAGCTGAAAAAATAAAAAGGTAAAAAAGAAATGTTTGCAGTTAACATTGCACACAGTTGCAAATCTCAGGCCTTAGTTTAGATGTGTCTCTATAAATACATCAAAGTGCAAAGTACAGGAAGCCCTTTCGCAGCATTCGTTTTTCTTTTTAAATAAAAAAAGCATGAGATGCAACAGAACATAAACCAGATAAAAAAAACTGACATTTCATTGAAACTTTTTTCTTGTCCTGAAATTACTAATCACTTCTTTTTTACTGAAACTGCACATGGTTTAACATTTTCTGCAGATTATACTGTGTTTCAAAAGGAAACCAGGCCATAAAGAGCTTTGTCTTTGAAGCAAAGTGTGAAAACCTGTCTCTGATCTCTTCCAAACCTGAGCAATCTGATAGTGATGTATAACGGCTCCTATCTTGAGAAACTGTCTCTGTCTGAGTTGAAGTGCAGAAGTTGAACTTGATGTGAGGAACAAGCTCAATCCACAACAGATATGTCTTATCTACCAACAGAGAGTACTTCCTGAATCATGCAGGGTTTCTTTTCTGTTTAAATATAACCTTAACCAAAAAAGGTAACCTCAATGGTTGACCTCAACACAACAACAACTATACAAACAGAAAACATGTGGATTTAAGGGGGCCGCTTGAAAAGCTATCATACCACTGAAATGTTTCTGAAATCTCAGAGCAGAGGAATCACTTCCCCGGCGAACAGAGTTTATGCTTAGCAGCTTTCCCTTCCAAGCTTACTCCTGTCTGTGTCCATTCTGTCCAAAGCTACACCCACGTGACCCCGGTAAAAACATCCATTGTCATCTTTTCCTCTCATCTGCATAGCAGCGACTCAGGGAGGCAGAGCTCTCATTCCATCTGTGTGCTTCCAGCGGAGGGATGGTTTGGCAAATTCGTCTTTGGGCCTCATCACTCATTGGCTTTCTTTCTTAAGATCAAATGTTGTTCCTCACAATGCATTTTGTTGTGTTGCGGTAAAAGTGTCTATAATAAAGCCTTATGGTATCTGAATACCTGAGATGTAAAAACTGTTGAAAACAAACTGGTTTGTTTCCTGCTTGATCCTGTTTGTTTGTGTAGAGGTGAACAGAACAAAGCAATTACAGCAAAACAACACTACTGTGAGGGTTTTAGGATGTAGCCTCGGTATGAGAACTCTGGGTTGGTTTGTTTATAGAGTCAATGGGATTTTCCCTCGATTCAACACTGGTATGAAGTGCTGCAAGGTACAACTTCTAGTAGCAAAGTACAAGTTTCATTATTGGCATCTTATTTTCTTAGCAACCTTTAAGAAATCCTCCATTATTCATCGGGTATATGTTGCAGAACATTTTGCATTTAATGGTGCAGAAACACAAAATGTTTTAACATGTGGTTTTTCCACTCCTGGCACACCTGACCAATAAACAGACTGAATGTTCTTTTTTCGACATTTCGATCAAAATTAGCCAAAGGTTCCTTAAAGAAAATTTGAATGAAAGTAAACCAGGTGAAACTAAAACTTTTCCACTTCTGACAGACCAAATTTTTTTTGGATCTTGAATGCAAAAATATGCAAAAATGTGTTTATATATATATATATATATATATATATATATATATATATATATATATATATATATATAATAAGTTGATGGATATTTAAAAAATTGATTAATCAGGATTAATCAAATACATTGTTTCAGCCATAAAGCAGACACAGGCTTCTCTTAACCAAACTTGTCATGAAAGCTTGTCTGGAAAAGAAACAAGCAAATTCTTCAGACTCTGCCCTTTGCTCTAAAGACATAAGAGGGAAAACAAAAATGGGAATTCAAAAAAGAACATGATGCACATGACAGTCTGGACGACACACACCTAACGAGCAGAACGGATAACCCAGCGGCAGTCACATGGAAAGATGACCTCGGGCTGGAGGGTCAAATAGATCTGAGAAATAAATGTTTGTGCTGGTGTGAAATCAGCTGAAGAGAAACAAATCTGCCAACTATTTGCCTTCCCTAGTCCGCTATTGGTAAATAGATCCCACCTATGTGTTATTGAGTATAAATCTAATCTCGCTCAGTAAAAGTTTCGGTAATTTTACAGAACATTAAAGAGCAAATAGCAGCACAAAAACCACAGAACTCAGGAGACAGGCTAGCTCAGACAATAAGCTTAAAGCGTTTCTAAGATAAGCGTTTTAGTCTGACACCTCGAAAAGAAAATTTTTTTGAAAACTACACATTTCCCAAAAGGTAGATCTTTTATCTACTTTGGCAGGTTGAGCAAATCAAAGAAGTGGCTGCAGATTTACCTATCAGCACTGCACTACACATAATACAACAAAATACATCCATTGTTAAGAAAGTCATGCAAAATCGAGTTTCTAGTATGCCACAAGCCATGGAGAGGAAGGAGGTGCTCTGCTTAAAGTGGATTAAAACATTGTGTGTATGGCGTTTGCACCACTCAGCAATCATATGCTCCATCTGACAGAGCTTGAGCTGTTTTGCAAAAAAGCAGTAAAAACGTTGCAGGTGTAAATGCAGCATAGAGCTTTACCCAAATTGACTCTGGTAGGCTGAATAGGAACATAAAGCACACTTTTCAGACGTTCAGTTGTTTAAAAAGAAATGAATCTGAAAACAAGGAGTTCTCTTCAATTTTGAGTCTTGACATAAGAAAATATGATGAATCTAAAGAGGCAGACATGCTTTTAAAGCCAACAATATCTATGCAAAACAGTAAAAAAATGTTAAAAAGTAAAATGCATTTTAACTTGTGTTATTTAAAAATGATGATAAGGCCAGTGACATTGAGACTTTTCCATTTGAAATGATCTGATTATTCATAATTGATTGTTGCTGGAATTATTAAACCTACACTTACCTAAACCTATATTAAAGACCCACTCATAAGGCAAACACCTGCATTAAAAACCTGGTTATTACATGATGCTGGACCACAGCAGCATAAACATATATATATATATATATATATATATATATATATATATATATATATATATATATATATATATATATATATATATATATATATATATAACTGTTGTTAAATCAGATTACAAATCCTGAAAAGTTCACAGTTTGTATGATAAATCACTGGGCATTATAATGTCTGAACCTAAATCTGTGTGCTGATAAGTGGAAAAATAATAAACGGTCTAAAGGGGTTTACACCTGTTCACATCTGGAAACTTGCACCGCTTTAAAAACCGATTTAGATTAAGGGCACTCCAACATAATCAACCCCAAATAGTCTAGCATGGGAACAATTTTTACGGTTTTATAGAAACATTTCAGTATGCCTTCCTTACCTGTTTTCTGCTCCTCTTTAAATGGACAGATATAAACGCCACACGTCGCCCATATCACAGGAATCTGGAATAAGACATTTTAAAGCAGCACAGGAGGTGAATGTGGCCTCATGAAGGAGTTGGAGGGCCCAGCTGCAGATGTTTCATCTCACATCCTATCTGCGCTCTCGATGACGAACCAGCCGCAGTTTCTAAGAAAAAGAAAAGTTTCCCCTCAGCGCTTCTAACTAAAGCCCGATTAGGAAGAAAAAAACAAAAAAAACAAATTAGTGGTAAAAAAGAAAAAAAAAGAATAAACGATTAGGAAAAAGAAAGAAATGAGCCACGGAGCTGGTTGTCTATCTCATCTGGGTCCAAATCTGCGCTGATAAAACAGGAACATGGTCGCGGGGTTTGGGGCCAGACTCCTTCCGCTCTGACTGGCTTCACACTGGCAGATCAGACTCGGTTCCCTTTAAGTACGAACCCTTCAGCTGCTGTTCCCGATTAAAACTCGAGATTAGAGATTTTTAAATAGTTGTAGGCATAGAGGTTTTTTTTTTGTCCCACCCCTTATTGTTCCGTCCGCAGTCTGCGCGCCTGGAATGTGTTCTCTTAGCGGTTTTCCTGTTGCTCACTAAACCTCTCATTTTCCTTTTCCCTTGTGGACTGCAAGGAGAGGAATGTGCGTCAAAGAGTTGCACAAGCTACAACAAGAACTAGAAACAAGGTTTCAATCTTCAATATAAGATGAAAAATGGTTAATGTGTTAATAATGAATGAACCATAACCTGCTAGAGTGATAAAATCCATGCAATAAGTTTAAAACTGCACTATAAGCTGACAATAAAGTAGGTTCCCAGATGAAAATTTACTGTTACACAGAAATAATATTCTTATTTCTAATAGAAATAACAGCATAATCCTTAACAAAATTATTTCACACAGACAATTACTCGAGTGACATATAGGGCTCTTCTTATCGCACCCCACTCTAGACAAGCTTTGACTCTCCTTGAAAAGGTTTTTAGAGGATTTTGTTAGGAATCCAGTTTGTGTGGGTTGCTTGTGTGTTTCTTCTCCCTCCACCACCAGGTGGTGCCCTATCCTCGTTGGGCCTCCCTGCAAACCTGCGGCTCGTTGGTTCATTACTGGAGGAGTATTTGAGCAGTGGGCTGTCACTACCTCGACGCCAGAGTGTTTGCCAGTTTTGGGAAGCCTTCCTGTGAAAACTGGATACCTAGACTTTCTCCCTGTGTAAGGAATTACTGAGTTTCCACTAAGCAGGGAAAAACCTCCGCATGATCCATTCAAGTCCCCATCGGTAATCCAAGTGACAGTCCGCTCCATTACTCCTCTGGGTCCAACGTAAGTCTACCTGTCAGCTCTCCAACGAGTTCCCTCTTCTCTGTATAATCCCACACAGACTGGATTCAAGGAATGACAAGAGCCCCCTCAAATGTGAGTCCCTCTCCAGCATAATTCAAGCCGCAGTCTCATTTCCCACGGTCCCTGAACTTATCTCTGTGATCTCCCCTTCAGACTTTCCAGTTCTGGTTCACCAGTTCACTGAGTTCCAGATCCAACCTCTGTTTGCATTACTTCAAATAAACCTGTTAAACTTTTCCCTGTGTTCTCTGAGTGGTTTCTCTGCATGTGGGTCAGATTCCTTAAACCAATCATGACAATTTTATTTTGTTATTGTTCTAGAAGGTGTTTTTGAGGTGGGGCAGGGATGTTGGATGAAAAGGCCTGATTCATGAAGTTCAACTGAAGTTGGAAGTTGGAAGTTCAACTGAAGAAACTGGATAACTTACCCTTATCCGCCTCCGACACAAGCCATTCAGCTTTAAAACACACCTCCACGCAGCCCATTCAGCATCCAGAGTTCATTTTAAAAGCTCTGAAAATGCACAACTCAGTCTGCTACCCAGCCAAAGCACAGGCAGTTGTTGTGCTATGTCTGACTTTGATTCAGTTGACCCCAATTCAACCCACCTCCATCCCCTTCTCCACCATCGTAGATAAAACTTCATCTGACTTCTCCAATGTGCTTCTTCTTCTTCGTCCCCATCATAGTGTCATTCCTCCTGGATTCTTTCTGCTTTCCCCGTCACATCTAAACCAGTCTGGCAGAAGACGCCATGTTCAGCCTGAAGCTGAATAATGTGTGAGTATGAGAAATTGATTAGGAAACTTGCAGATTATAGGAACCATCTTCGTTTACCTCTTCATCTGTTCCAGTTTGCATGTTTTCAATACAAAAACAGGGCTTTGTTGGGCTACCTCGAACTTAACGCTATTCCTGACATTTTGAATTTAAAAAGCTTCCTGGATGGGAAGCGAAACGTCTTCAAACCTGGAAACCAAGTCCAGTGGATTTTTTTCTTTTTCTTTTTTTTTTGGCATGTTGAGCCTGGTTCTATCAGAGCTTTCTTCCCAAAGGGGAGTTTTTCCTCTCCACTGTCGCTTCATGCTTGCCAATAATGGACAGGTTCATGCTACCTGTGTTTATCCAAGCTGGACTTCCATCTTCCCAGGTCCCTGAGTGAAGCACTGGTGTCAGCTCACACAGTCTACTGCATCTCATCAATACAGTTCAAGCAGATTGTCTCACCAACCAGCAGTCTATGGACTGAACCACTTCATCTATCTCCACTCCACCACCAGTTTCAGGCCTGGGGGAAAACATCCCTGTTCTTATACACCTGCTTATACATATCAAAGCAAAATTCAGTGCTAATGTTTCCTGCCGAAATAAAATTTTTGTAATTGTCTTTCTTTCATTGTTAGTTTTTCAGACTGAAATTGTTTCAATATCAAAAGCCACCACCTGAACATCTCCATCCACTGTTCTTGACCCAATCTAGGGTCCAAATGACATTTAGAGGTTTGCAGTTATTGACTTCTCAGACAGTTAGTGTTCTATAATATGCAGTATCCATGATGTGGCCAACTGTGTAAATTTACTTTTTTTTTTAGGGTTAATTGTTTGATAAAAAACATGGGTGAAACTTCACCCATCATGAAGACCAGAAGGGAAAACATTGATCAGGGTTTGTTTTTAAAACAAGATCCAAATAATTATCCTATTATTTGATATAATAAATTAATAGAAATAGCATGTAACAACTGTCAACCTACCAACCGAGTTAACACAAACTTAATTGCTGGGTAAGGAGAGCATCAATCAGAGAAGCAGCTAGAAGGCGCATGATGACTCTGGAGGAGCTGCAGAAATGTGCATATCTGATGGGAAGATCTGTTCACACTGTTGTTGAAAGACAGCTGAAAATGATTATTTTTGCCCTAAACATGCAGTTTTCTGTTAGACATTAACCTGTTTTGCCATGTAGATGAACAACTATCAATGCAACAATCCCAAACCCACCTGTTTGATTCCAGTGCTCATTTCTATTGAGTGTACTGTTTCATGCTCTGCATTCGACAAATAAACATAGATGCAAAAATCTTTTAGCCAAATAAATCTACCAAAGAGAAATAAACTGCATGTCTACCAATATTTACTTTTTGTGAAGCACTGAAAGAAGCATAAAGCTGAGCTGATAGATTTATGAGAGAGTTTAGTGATTGCGGCAGCTAATGTCTGTCGTGATAAAATATGCCAAAGGGAGTATACTGTGGAACATTTATTCCGAAAAGCCTAATACAGATGTCTTCATGTCTATAATATAAATTTCCCTCCCTGTTTGCAGGCGCTATTATCTCTCCGGTTTGGCTTAGGCACCAGCTGCAAGCTCTCACATCAGCTGTCAAGTTGCAAAAAGAGCAAATTGTTCTTCTCACTCTAGGGACTTATTTTTCTTAAGCCATTAATCTTTGTAATTTGAAGAGCTTCCATTTGTTGAATGATTCCTTGGAGTACATAAAATAACAATTCAATCCTGTCAGTTGTTCAAAACAAATAAAAGGTTGTCTTTTTTCATTTAGTAAGACTGAAACAGTTCATTTAAATACAGACAGGCCTTATTTACCAAGGAGAAAATCTCAGTTTCAGCTTAAAGCTTCAAGATAAAAGCTTGAATCATGAGATCAATTCTTAAATTACATCATCTTGCCTAATGAACCCATGGGAGGTATTTGTTTCGGGGGTGACATGGGTCATAAAGTTCCCTCCTCATGAGAGGAAGTAAGCTGCAGCTCTGAAAATAAAATAAGACATGGTTTTACACAATAACAGAACAAAATACATTTTGCTTCTCTTTTTCTGGCTGCTACTGTGAATTCTCTTGCAGAACAGGCTTTATTGCGAAATGCAGCCCTATGAAATTATAAAAACCTCAATATGTGCTTAAAGAGATGAGATGTTGCCTCATTTTATTTCATTTTATCACTAATAAAAGGTGATTGTTGTGTAATGCTAATCCAGTGTGGATTAAAAGATTAGCTGCAACAAGGGTTCAAAAGCCACTCCATGCCACTGCAGAGTCTTAAGAAGCTCAAACTATCTTTATTTTAAAAGAGTAAATAAGGTTTCAGGACTAATCGGTCTTGTTTATCCTAAAGAAGAGAAATCTTGGTAGTTTTTCGGTTCACTGGGAATCTGTATTGATACGGAGACGTTACATATATGTAGTTCTAATGTTTTTCACATGTTACCACTGGAATTAAGTCTGGTTCTCACCAGTACAGCCTTTCACCAAGAAGTGCTTTTCTCCAGGTTCCTTTCAAAATGTCCTCATAGACCCATATGTGTTGTCAAAAAAAACAAAAACCTTCCTTTTCTCTTGAAGACAGCCTTGCATTTCAAAAACATGAGAAGCATATGACCTTATTATTTTATAATGCTCAGCAGATTTTGTGTTAATGCCCCCCTCGAAGCATAGGCCATCCGGATAATACAGATTAAAAATAGTTACCGGTACTTTCAAGTTTCTTTATTCTTATATCTGCTTGATTGTTGATCTGCATTTAATTCAATCAAATTTGTAACACCTCGCTGGACCAAGTCATAGTGCCAGCATGCTTTAAGTCTGCCTCCATCATTCCGGTCCTGTGTATACAAAATGACAATAAAGTTGGTCTTAGTCTTAGTCTAAGTGATCGCATATTTTAAATGGCTGAATGTGGAAACAGCCTGTCCATGCCTTGTTGGCAGTTTTAGAGGTTAGAAATGTCTTCCTGAGCTCAAAGGAGGTTTACAAAAAGCTAATTTTCTGTTAATAGGATGTAGCTGTCATGTTACCCCAACTCAACTATCGATTCATTAAACAGTGCGTCTTGGCCTTTCCTCAACTGTTTGCTGCTGCAGTGCTTTCCTCCATGAGGTTTGAGCAAAACCTTAGGTTCCATCAACCAGGTTTAGTCTGGGAGGATTAATCCAATATGTGAGGTCTGGTTGTGGTAAATGTGTTTTTATTTAGCTTTTATTAGTAGTTGTGAGATTCGTACAAATTTTACAACAGATTGCTAAATTTATTTTACACTTGCATACAAGCTCTTGTTATTGCTTCAACAACTTATACATGCAAAAAAACCTGAGTGCTTGTTTCTGTGATTTTGTTTTAAAATAATCACCAAAACATTAACTTTTCAAATAGGAAATTGCCTAAATGGATTCATATGTAACAGATAAATACGTTCTGTTTTAACTGGATATGTTCTTGCATTAACACATGTTAATATTTGCTGTTCTAGGTAGTATACTGTATACAAACATAGAATGTTAACACTTATCCAGTGCACAAAAAACAAAAATCCTAGACACAATCTGTTTTAATATTTCAATACACCTGAGTAATATTTGATGCAGGCAGTTTCTTACATAGGTTCTTTGAATAATATAAAGCCTTGCTTATTTTTATTTATCAAAGAGTAAGTGTGCAAATAAAAGGTATCTGTCCACCTTGGCTTATAAAACACAAAGAGCTGTTGATGACTAAAGACTTGCAGTAAAGCAGTCCTTATTCGATCCCAAACCAAATGTAAAGATAAATGGATTTTCCATGTTAAATGACTCACATTTGACTCAAAAATGTTTTGGAGGATCAGAAACATGTAAAAGATTTATAAAAAGCGCTGGTAGATGCTACAAGCTGCAGCGGGGTAAATATAGGAACACTAGTCAGGAATAAGATGTTTGCCTGCTGAACAGTGGGTTGGTCCTCCTTTGGCAGCCATCACAGCTTATTTGGCATGGATTGCACTAGTCCCCCTGAGGTTGTGCTGTGGTAGACCCTTTGTGTCCTTTAAGTTGTGAGATTGGGAATCGATGGATTGACTATTTTTTCCCAGCTCATCTCCGTGTGGAACTTAGTCAGAACCACAAGCTCTTTGTGCTTCTCTGTACATGGTTGGTGTGATATGAAGGTGGTTTGCTTCAAAGTAACATCGACAAAATTGTTGCTTTTCCAGAAAAACTTTACCCAAATCATCCCGCTGTTTCCTCTGAATTAGATTTCATCCATTGTGCATTCTGGTTCCATAAGGTCCCAACTATCCCCCAGATAGGAAACAACACATGTTTCAGTAGACCAAGCATTCATCTTTGTGGTCCAGCTCTGATGCTCGCGTCACGTTAGCTGATGTTTGTTAGAGGACAGGAGTCCATGTTGAGCCTGAGCAGTCTGTGCCTGAGCAGCTCCACATTCAACAACCTGAGTGTATGTACTTTGTATTCTGAGATATCAGAACCAGCATTAACTTCTTCCATGTAAAGTTGTCTGCTGGTTTGAACCATGTGTGCCATTGAACCTGCAGACCAAAAATACCTCCCAAAAGCTGCCACTGTGGAGATTCTCCAATCAGCTATAATATGTTGAACTGTTAATACTCAATTACATTATCAGATTACAACATTTTCCATGGTTTAATGAAATCAGCTTTAAGTAAAGCGTACTCTGAAAATGGGGGCAATAAAGAACAATTTTCTATACCACATAAAAATAAACCTCTACTGTCTGTTATTTGAAATGTAGATATAAAAAAGTCTCTTTTGGTTCCCTCATTATGGGAAACTAAACCTTAAATACTACTATATATTTTTCCTAAAGGCCTTTGTTCATATTACATTCATACTGCAATCTGTTACAGTAAAGGCTATTGGCTTTTTTGTTTCGTATTAAGATTCCCAAGAGCTTTCCCCCAAACCTTTGTTAGATTCTTTAAAGCTGTATTTCATTGCAGCTGAAGGATAAGGGCAGAAATACAACACCAAAAAACTCTGTGATCCGCTAAGGCTGAGATATGAAATGCTTAAACGTGTTTAAATTAAGATTTAGAAAACACAATTTAATGCCAATGATTTCAAAAACTTCTGCTGAAAAATCTGGAGTGAATCAATCCAGTGGATCTCGGTTCCATTCAGAGCAGGTTTGAATCCATTCATGGGTTTTTGTCAGATTCCCACTCTGAAAGCTGCTTTGCGATGACTTCCTGTAATGTAACAGAAATCAGAGTCGCTGTTATCTCACTGTTTTATTCATTTCATTCATTGGACATATCACAGTGAAATATTATCCTGATGACTCAGTGTTTGCTGGATGACTTTTTGGACCCCTTATTTTTTTTCTCTTGCTCTTTTTCCTCCTCTTGTCTTTTCTTCTCTCTCTTTTTCTCCTCTTTGGCCTCCTTATATTTCCAGACAGGCGGCTCTAGGTAGCCCTTTTGCCTTTTCTTCTTTTTCTCCTTTTTTGGTGTGGGCTCCCCAGACTTTGTCACTTCAATCTTAGGAATGCAGCCTGAGGGGAATATGCTGTTCCTGTGCGCCATGCTGCGGGGGATGAAGCTTCTCACGCCGCCTGATGCCATGCTCTCTCTGCGCTCTGCTTCCTGGCAGCAGGATGTCAGAGAAACAGAGGTGGCGGACAAAACTGTTGGAGAAGCTGAGCTGATGGATCCGTTGCTGTGGGACACAGTGCTCTCCTCCAGCTCCTTACTGCTGTGCTTTTCTAGCAGTTCTGGTACAGCGAACCTTCTCTTGCCGATCTCAGGAGGACTAGTTGGACAGAGTGGCCGGGATCCGGTGACTACTAGAGGGCTGTGAATGCTCGTGGTTATCCGAACCATATGGTCCATAACCCCGTTGTCTTGGGCGTCATGTGGGAAGCTGAAAGAAAGGCTTTCTTTTAATCGCTGCCTCAACTTCTGACTGGCTGTTTTGGGGGCAGAGGCCTTTTCTACCAGCTGCTTCAGTTCAGGCCACTCAGGCTTGTAGCTCTCATAGAACTGCTTAGCAACAGGATGAGCCTGCAGACGGCGTATCCTGTTCAGGGTCTCAAACCTTCCAGTCCGAAGAACCCAGTCCTTAAGCCCTCTGCCTTGGACCAGGTCCACCGCATGCATGTCTGCACCTGCAGCACATAAAGGACGGGGGAAAAACAGGAAGCAGGAAGAAATTAAACCAGGTCTACAAAATGCATTAAAACCACACAGCTTTGATCAGTATAACAACACCACCATGTGGTTGTATTTGAGGTGTGGACTGCTGCTGTTTGGGGTAACTTTACATGGAACAAATTTCACAGGACAAATTTCAGAGGACTGGATTGTGTAATACTTAAATTATTGTGTTGGGAATTTTTTATTTTTTTTTGCCTCAAAGACAAATGAGCAATTTGTAACTTTGCATTACAAATTGCATATATATACGTGACTTTGCATATATATATATATATATATATATATATATATATATACACATATATACATACTTATATATATATATATATACATACACATATATACGGTACATACGTGTGTATATATATATATATATATATATATATATATATATATATATATATATATATATATATATATATATATATATATATATACATATTTACATACATACATACATACATAAATGCATACGTAAAATGCATGCATAACTTTTAACTGTCTTGGTAACATTTATAATGAGAATGTGGCTTATTTATTGAAACCTGCTAAGAGTTAATTTCTGGCTTCCTGTGCTCATCTGTCTCTGGCTGCACCTGTGGTTTGAGTGTAAACTGAGTAATGTATTTCTAAAATTACCGTGCATCAGGAGGGCGGACACACACTCCTCTCTGCCCTGCAGGCCTGCCTTGATGAGGGCCGTGAAGCCGCGGGGGTCTCTGATCTCGGTCTCCACACCAGAGTAGTAGTTCAGGATGTAGTTAAGGATAGTGATGAATCCTAGCATAAAAGATAAAATAACAATCATGTTTGTTTTCTCAAAAAGATTAAAGCTGTCATGGTTTAGTCAGGTGATGTTGGGATTTTCGACACCTACCGGCCTGTGCAGCGATCATGAGAGCAGTGTTACCGTCCTTATCTTGGTGGTTGATGTCTATTAATGGGCATTTGTGTAAAACAGTGACAATGTCTACAAAACCTTTGGACACAGCCAACATCAGTCCATTCTGGAACAGAAAAGAAAGAAGAATCAACTTATTTATCTTTAATATTGCAGGACATAGTAAAACCTGCTCATTTAGTTTCTAACTCACCCTGCCATTGATGTCTAACTCCATGGCCTCCTCTTTGGTGAGCCCTCTCTCCAGCATGCTGCTCAGGGAGGTGGGGTCGTTCCTTGCACAGGCTTCATACAGTGTTTTAGGTGGCTCCTTATAGACTGTTATTTGTTCATACTCAGGGAGTACCGAGTCATCAGAAAGCACACTTCCTGAGTCAGAATCATCCAGCAGGATCTCTTCGTCATCTGACGGGCCAGGACCCAAGACTGGGTCATGGGATGCAGATGCCATCTTGGCCCCTTCTGTCAGGGATCACACCTGGGGGCCAGGACCACTGCACACCACCCATACCTTTAAAAAAAGAAGAAAATTGATACATAAAAAAAAAGACCAGGTTGCAGTATGACTTTATCTCACATAAAAGGAAATGCATAACTTTTATCAACAAACAAGATATATTCATGAAACACACAACAGCATGTTATTATTTTTGTATCTTTTGCTTTAAAGATAATTTTTTGCATATATGGGTCCAAAGTCCTGGTTCTAAAGTGAAGAGGATTAAATATAACTGCCAGTTAAAAAAAAAGGAAAAATCTAAAAATTCTTGAATTATATGTCCCCTGGGATTTAGAACAGTTTTTTCTTAGCATGGTCATCTATTTTCTCTGTGTGTGCTAAGAGTAGTTTAGCTTCTTTTACACAGTCCCAACTGTTTTAAACCTTTAACCAGGCTTAACGTTGTAATAGTCTTAGTAAGCTAATTTCAAAATATGCCCTCCTTGATTAGAATGTTGAGTAGTTAAGAGAAATCTGGCTCCATGTCACCTAACATTAATTCAAAAAGCAGATGTTGACTTCTCCTTTAATTGAAGATTTCCTCTATTTTTCTTTTTTTTTGTATATATATATATATGTATATAGTAATATATTTAAATGGAAAATAATTGCTCCATTCAATTTTTGTGTTTGCAAAAACAGAAAAAAAAAACAACAACCCAGAAATAAAACAAAGCAAAAAATATAAAAAATCATCTCCTATAAAATGATTTTTAGTTTACATAAAACACTTTTGTCTGACCAGCCCAGTTCCGGCAGTGGAAACACTTGGGGGAGAAAAATTAATCAAGAAATCCCTGATTCACAGGTCTATAGGTGTTTCTATTGCAGAAAAAATAAGTCCTGGAGAATAAATTGTCCCACAATGGACAAAGGCTAAATTAGGAGTAAACTTTGGTTCTGTCTGGTTATGTCAGCTGATAATAAATGTTGCATTACTAAGTATTGACAATAAATTATCTATTAATGTGGCTGTTTATTTTTTTCTTCATGTAATACGTGATGCCAAACAAGGTGATATAAACTTAAAAGTCAGGCTTTCCTAAATCGTTCGGAGAAAAATCATTTTTCTAAGGCTTTTTACATGTTGTTATCTTTGGTACCAAAAAAAATCTCAAAATATATTTAAAACTGATAAAGATAGTGTTTTACAAGGACTCCATTCATACGCACACTAAAAAAAACCCCAATGCAACCGTTTTTGGCATTTAATTAATCTGATTTATACTTTGATACTATTTATTCAAGTTAGCAGGGTACAACTTAAAACATTTGTGTTAAAGTAACTAAATATGATTAAGGAGATGCCAAACACGCTATCTTTTTTTTTATATAGGAGGATAGTTCAAACTGCTTTACAGGAAAACCAGGAAATAAGAAAATTAATGCACACTGGCATGAATATAACAACAAATACGAAGCCTAAACAAGATATAGAGTAATAAGAATTAATGTTTTTACTCTTGATTTTAAGGTTCCATCAATTTATCCACATCTCAGGTGTTTCTAATATGAATTGTTATGTAATAATAATTTTAGTTGTTGTACCCTGAACATTTATTTTTACCAATTTGATGGCGACCAGACTGTAAGACTCATTCCTGTGAAGACCTGTTGACCTGAAGATATGATGGCTAAAGAGGATGAGGAGCTTTACCTCACCTTAGCTCCCCATGTCACTGCGGCTAATGTGTAAGGCTATGATTTAAACCTAACATATTATAATATGCATTTCTGTTTGTTGTCCATATGACAAGGTTAAAAAAGCATTATTTCTTCACAAGCTTAGAAGAGCCAAGTCAGCAGAAGTACAGATTCTATGCTTTGTACCTTTAACACAATAGCAGAAGCATGAAAGGAGAATAATGTTGGCTTGAGGAAATCTGGTCTCTGGAAATAATGTGAATGAAGGTATAGTGTGAGGGATAGACTGGGATAAAAAAGGCCATATGGTGCTGGAATCAATGGGAGTCCAGTTTAATGACAGCATCTGCCATTGCTTCTTTTAAGAGTCACACTGTTCTGCAGAACAGGACCTTCTAAGTCTTGGTTTTATTTGTATTAGCAATAATTTTGTTACCTGGCACAAAACTCCAAAAGATGAAGACAGTTAAGTATTTAGAAGGAAAGAAACTTAAGCACAATATTGATGAGTCATCGTTCAATTAACAGATACACCTGAAAACACAGTAAAGTCTTTAAAGTCAAAAAACAAGGTTGTTTCTCATCTGTCTGTCTTCTTTAAGAATGAAAAGTCGAGCAGCAGTCATTTAGCAGAGTATCTCTGGCCTTGACTATAGATGATGGAGACCATCTCAACCTCCATAATCTCCCCAGCATGTGCTTTTATTCTAGCAGTTTTTGTCAAGAAGAATGAAGATTAACTCATGAAAATCCTCATCCCTCTTTAACTGTCTTTATGGCCTAAACATCTATTAACATCAAGCTGTCTCAGTTTCCGTCTAAATCCAAAATATCGCCTAAACCATTTGGAAATCAGAACTTTAGAAAAACTTTAAGATCTCACCCAGAAGATTCCATCCATGGTTCAGGCCTCCTTCTCTCTTTTCTGATGTTTTATTATTCCTCCTGGGTGTTAAAACATCTTCTCTTGGCTCTAGTTGTGAATGCACGCCAGTGACTGGTTAGGGTTAAGTTCCCCAACCTGAGCACAGCTTCAGCCTCCCCCCCTCCCTCAATTTCTTCTGCAGGCCACTTAGGTTGCCTCATCAGCCTGGTCCCAACATAGAATCTACTGCCCTAAGTCAGGCAACGTGCTCTCTCCCTCTCATCCTGATTACAGAAGATTTACGGATTAAGAGAAAGAAACAGACAGAAGCCAACCTTGCTCCCGCTGCTCTCAGTTTGTCGAGTTATTCTGCTCTTTCTCTCATCTTCTTGGCTCTCTCACAGTCTGCCTGTCCACAGCTCTGAGCTGCCCATCTGTTGTGTGAGTGAAAACCTTGCTTGCTGTCCAAAAAAAAAAAAAAAAAGTGTTGTGACTGAATCACTAAGGCTATGTGTCTGCTAAAACTGCTGAAGACCCCAACCAACCACATTAATACAGTTCTCTTCATTGTAACAGGTGCGTTATAATGAAGCTGAGAGTCTTGGATCTGGTTTCTGATGAAAATTAATTTGCTTCGACAAGAAAAACTCTCCTTACTGTTACTCAGCCAGAGGGCCTCATAGTTCCCATAGTAAGAATGATACAGACTGTGTGCAAACTGCAGAGTCCAGATCCTTACATGATGTGCAAGAGCTTTATTACATATATTGGGGTTCAAGTATTTATTTGGTATGATATTTTTACCTTTTAAATTATTATCAAACTTGCAAAATAATTAACACCCAATATTTTAAGGTTATGCTTTCTTTTTTTGCCTTTAACAGGCTCCATGTTATGTGGACTGCATCAGTACATTGAGAAAAACATTACAGTAAGAGGTTTATTCATTGCATCAATGACTCTTTGTCTCAAAGGTCATGTAAAAAGATTAACCCTCATACCTAAAGGGAGTAAGGCCACACTTTGACTGCTTTTGCACTTCATTCTAGGCTTATCTAGGCAACATCTGATGTCTGTTTGAGAGATGGTGCCTGCCCCCTCCTGTTCAAACTGGAGAATGCATGTGTTAATACAAAAACACTAAGAGGCTACCTCACTGGGTACACCCTCTCAATTGTTTTTTAATGCAAAGAGCAAGCAGACTTAGCAAGTGGTTGCAAATTACTACATTTAGGCATCTTGATGTGATGAAAGCAACATGTCAAATTTCAAACTGGGCATCAGAGTACGGTTGAATGAGGATTTAGGTGACTTTAGACCATTCCGAAGGTAATCCAAAGCGAGCTTTCATGTTTGCAGAGAATGATAACATTTACACTGGAAATGCATTCCCTATTTTGATATCAGATGGTGGTGCAGAATTGGAAGATTATGAAATGATTAATCCATGCAGCCTTGAGGATGTTTTCTTCTTTTTTCAGCAACAATGGACCCCTTAGTGTCAATAAAGCATTACTTACATAATTTCAATCTGAGTACAATGCTGACCATGTCCATCTCTTTTTGAATACAGTGCAACCACTTTCTAAATGATACTATATAGTACACCAATCGCTGTTACAGTGGGGAGGCAGGAGATTGAAAACATTGGGGTTCAAATGCAGCAACTATGTAAAGACAGAGAGTCAATATTAACCAACATCTCTGAGAAATGTGTCAGACACCTTGTTGAACCCTCTAGGTCTAAGAAAATGTTCCTCGGCCAGCAAAGGATGGAAAGCAAAAAACAATGTTCTGTATTTAACTTCTTACCCGTATATTCTGCAATGAGTTGTGGATCATGACTTAAAGAACTAGATAATGGCACAGAGAGGCTAAAATTGGATTCCTTTAAGATGGCAGAGCTCAGCTTTTGAGAGCGTATGACGAGCTTTAATGCACACATCAGCTCAGAATTAGAAATCCATCATTCATAAGCTTCTGAAGCAAAATCCCTCAGAAAGCTGCAGGCAGTTTTTTTTTTTTTTTTTTTACGACAAAACTGCACTTCTGGCTGTGAACTTAAGGATCACTTCCACAGCATCATAGCAACCTGAGCTGTTACTCAAAAGAGGATGCTGTAAGTTTAGACCAAAAAGCCTTAGCCAGACCCGTACTGAAATGAACCAAAGGAAGTGCTAGTAGTAGGAAGTTACATTAAGGGGGTAAAGATTATGGCCTAAAGGGAGTAAATCAGGAATATTATTGTCAGGAAATATCATAGACTTGAGGAAAGTCTGTTTGTTAAAGGTGGACAGGGTATTTTGGATGTTTTTCTCCATACTTCTTGGGTATGCCAAATGCAAGTTGACCAACCAGATGAGGGCAGCATTGTTCTCTCTGCACACTCATTGTGGCTTCAACAACAAAAAGCTTTAGCTCAGATTTTTCCACAACAGTAATCACAGCAAATTTGTACATAATGGAGAACATTTTGTTCTGGTACAGACCTTATTTAAGCCTTCAGATTTCCTTATAGGGTCTTAGCTATGGTCTCCTTATTCTTTAAATTCTTTAAGAAGACTTTCACTCATCAAAATGTTGTTCTGCTGGTTGTCTGGTTGTTGTCCCCAGACACCCTGGTACCCAGCAGAAGTCAGCAGCATAGTAAAAGAACTTAAAAAGAGGCTTTGGACAAAGTGAAGTAAGTTTAGTCAGCTTAGTGACTGATTGTATGGAGAGACGTGTGCTCTGCTAATATTAGATTGCTGGCAGTCACTTGGGGACTGATTTAAGTAGTGCATTGCTCAGACTTTAGGGGCTTTATCATTTCCATCTAAGTTCCTGAAGACTGAGGCTCTTCATTTTGTGCTCTGAAAACATCAGAATAATTATTTCAATTAAAGGAAGTAGTAGGCAGGCAGTGTTTTACCTGCTTATGTAAGGAAAGTAGATCTGGGCAATACTGCTAAAGCAAATTCCACCTTATCAGTTGCATTAAACTTGACTACTACAATCTCCCTGTGCATAGACACATGCACATACTGCTCCATTCATCCTAATAATTACTTCTACTAAAGCTCATTTACTTATACCTACTGTCTGTTCAACATAAACAGCAATTTAGGAAGTCTTAATTCAACCAATAGGGAATAAAACTCAACACCTTTTAACTGTCAACAATGTTTCACATAAATAACACTTGTGTTGTGTTAAACAGTTAACAGTGACAGTTGGAGAAACAATCTCATTATTTTAAATTCAACAATTGTGAGCGTTGAATTGATGTAAGATTAGTGTGTAGTGTCAAAAGTAAACACCACACACTTTCAGGATTTATATACAAATATAGCTGAGTATCATCAGCATAATCCCATGCTGTCTGATACACTGTGGCTACAGTTGCCCTCAGGCATGATTACAGAAGTGAGGCTGTTGTGAACACATGCCACCAGGCCATCAGTACATTATCAACACATCACAAATTCAGGTTAGGTGTCTTGCCTTAAAAAAAACATGTGGGTTAGCAAATATTTTTTGAAGGAGTTCACAGATAAGTTCAGCTAAGTGTAGATTTTGAAATCAACACGTAACAGAGTTGCCTTACTTTAACTTTGTAGATTAACACCAACTCTTTGAAGAAACTAACTGTATTGCATAGTTAAATTAGACAAAGCACATTTTGAGTTAACATAGTTCTTTTAACACCAACACTGGTCATTTAAGAGATTTGGATTTGCTGTGCAGGTGCTTGTAACTCAGGTTAAATGTATTGCAAACAGTTATTGCTAACAAAGCTGAATCTGATTCTCATTAAGGAGTATCATATTGGACTTTCCAAGCATAATGAGGTTCTTAAAAAAAAAAAAAGCATCAGTTTTTATTACATCACTAGGTGATGCTGCTTGACTAATGGACCGGAACAAGTAATAAGAAAGGGACTAATCTGAGCTTTCAAATATAATCTCGACTATATTTTTTGAGGGGGATTTCCTGATAAAACATTTTTATTTCTCATAGATGGTGATTTTGAAGCTTTGAGTATTCTCTGCTCTGATGTAATGTGCTCTGAATAGGAAAGGAGGTTGTTCCCCAACATCTGGCAATACATGGCCACGGTCATCCTCTCCTTAATACGGTGCAGTCGTCCTGTCCCATGTGAAGAAAACACCCCCAAAGCATGGGTGGTTCTACCACCACCACCACGGTTCACAGTAGGGATGGTGTTCTTGGGATGGTACTCTTCCTCCAAACACAGTTAGTGGAATTATGACCAAAAAGTTCTATTTTGGTCTCATCTGACAACATTACTTTTTCCCCATAACTCCTCTGGATCATCCAAATGGTCATCGGCAAACTTAAGATGGTCCTTGACATGTGCTGGTTTAAGCAGGGGAACCTTCCGTGCCATGTGTGATTTCAAACCGTTACGTATTAGTGTATTACCAACCGTAACCTTGGAAACGGTCGTCCCAGGTCTTTTCAGGTCATTGACCAGGTCCTTCCATGTAGTTCTATGTTGATATCTCATCTTTCTTAGTATCATTGACACCCCACGAGGTGAGATCTTGCACGGAGCCCCAGTCCGAGGGAGATTGACAGTCATGTTTAGCTTCTTCCATTTCCTAATGATTGCTCCAACAGTGGAGCTTTTTTCACCAAGCTGCTTGGCAATTTAACCGTAGCCCTTTCAAGCCTTGTGGAGGTATATAAATTTGTCTCTAGTGTGTTGGGCAGCTCTTTGGTCTGGGTCATGTTGATAGATGGATTCTTACTGAATGTATGGGGTAGACAGGTGTCTTTATGCATTAACGACCTCAAACAGGTGCATCTAATTTAGGAAAATAAGGCAGTTATTCTGAAGGCAGAATAAGGTTAAAAATTCTGATAGGTGTTCAAATACTTATTTACAGCTGTGTCATGCAAATAAATAGTTAAAAAATCATACATTATGATTTTTCTTTAGATCATGTCTCTCAGAGTGGATGCACCCACAATCAAATCAAATACTTATTTTCCCCACTGTATGCTGTGAGAATAACAGACTTGGACAAACTTTATTGTCATTTTAGCAACAAGACATTGGGACTGACACCCCTGGTGGAGTCACCAGCAGAATTCCTTTAACAACAAAATTGCTGCCTTTGATTCAATAACTCCTTAAGTTCAGACTGTTCTTCTTAGGCAACTATATTAACCTATCTCAAATTCTTATGAGATATGTTGAAAGTATTTTTAAAAGGCTTTAGTTCACAAATAAACACTTATCTTAGAAGTTGAAGTTAATTGAACTGTTGGATATTTGGACTCCTTTAAATGGGTGTGTGTGCATACCTTGTCTATGATTGACACAGCTGCCAATG